CGGGCCTCAACACACATATTGACATTCATCTCGCAAGCCAAGGGAGCTTGTCTGCTTTATCGAATGCAAAGTCACTGTTTGCATCGAAGAAGCCCAGCGTTCACCAACAGTCTTTTTTTTTTTCTTTTTTTCAATTCATACCTTGGCCATCCATGCAAAAGGCGCACCTGTGCTGAAATGACCCTCTTCAGACAAGAACAATCGACAAAACTGAGGAAGCAGGTTCTGAGTAGACAAGCAGGATATATAGCGAGCCATTGTTCAGAAGGAAGTTAAGATGTTGCATGTAGGCAAGGTAGTTTCTTCGGGAAAGAGGTTAAACGTAGGCCCTGTTTGTTGTCTGGTCAATAAAGTTAACGTTTGCAAGGAAGTTAATGTATGTTTGGTCTGTCAGGTTGGTAGCTAAGGATGTTACGATGGGCAGCTAAGGAAGATTAGGGAAGGCCAGTTGGTGCCGTGAGGAAAGGTAAGGTTAGTGGGTCCGAGGTTAGTTAGGTTGAAAGTGAAGTTATTATATTGTATCAACGGCAACAGGTGAGGAACGGGATTATTGCGCACACTGCCATCTAGTGGAAAAGCATTTCATTGTTCTGCCTGGCACTATATTCCCTTATTTGGAGGAACGAATTACTTTTCAGACCATTGTTACATAGTAACCTGACATATGATAAGCTGTCCACTTAGTAACTGCTGTCCCTGAAAGGGTTCATGACACAATGGTTGGGAATCCAACATCCAATAGGGCAACATTTTGGCCCTAAAATGTCCCCCAGAAAGGCAAAAAAATCCCCTCAATAAAACATTGGACATCACTGGTGGTGCCACACAAAGACAGAAAGACAAGAACACGCAGACAAAATGCTCGGAAAATGTCCCGATGTGACAAAACGTGACATCACCTCCGCTTCCATCTGTCCACAAAAGTACGGGTGGTCTCGTCCTGCCCGCCGTAATAAAAACTTTTTTACCGTCATGTTAAACTGGAGGGACGAACGCCGTAAACTGACGGTCGTCAGGGGGCCAAGGGAGACTCATTTGCATCACAGTGCACGCACAGGCAGCAAAAAAAGACACTTGCTTTAACTGCGTGTCGACGACAGCGCGCGCTTTCACACACGCTGACAACGATCGGTTAAACAATGCAGCAGAGTGTGATGGAAATGCGAGTTGCTGTCGCTCTTTTTCAGTCTCTTTCCTGTTGGTTGTCGCGGTAACCACTAGCGTCTGACCTTTGGCGAACGACGCCCTTGGGAACGTACGCCCGGTGTGGACGCGTGTTGTGGCACTCGCTGATGTACAACAACAACAACAACAACAACTAATCAATACAACTATTACACTACTGTGGATTTTATGTTGAAAATCTGGCGAAATTCTTTGAAAGTCTTTCAAGCTCAGGGAACCACGTCGGGTTACTTGAGAGGGTGAAGGACCAACTATCCATCCATTTTCTGATCCACTATCCTCACAAGGGTCGCGGGGCGTGCTGGAGCCTATGCCAGCTGTTGTCGGGCAGTAGGCGGGGGACACCCTGAACCGCTTGCCAGCCAATCGTAGGGCACAGAGAGACGAACACCCATCCGCGCTCACACTCACACCGAGGGACACTTTCGAGTGTTCAATCAGCCTGCCATGCATAGTTTTGGAATGTGGGAGGAAACCGGATTAACCAGAGAAAACCCACGCAGGCCAGGGGAGAACATGCAAACTCCACACAGGGAGGCCGGAGCTGGAATTGAACCCGATACCTTATATATTGTGAATATTGTGAATGTTATCAGTAAACAATCATTGTGCGCTGCAGCTTTCTTGTATTTAAAAAGAAAAAAAAAAGTAGGATTTTTTTTAAAACACGCTGTTTCCAAAATGCAGTCGCATGCTGTCACGGAGGAACTTCAGCTGTTTGCTGACGCGGAGTTTTCAGCTTTGTTTTTTTTTTTTTTTTTTTTTTTTTTGGAAGCCGGGGGTTTTAAAGCAAAAGCAGCTGGAGGCTTTAAAAAAAAAAAAAATCTACTCGACAGCACTTTGCTCACAACGCAAACATCTTCACAGAAATTGTGCCGGGATCACTTTGGTGAGATCCACTGCAAAAAGCGACAACCAAACAAAATGACTTATCTTGCGGCTTACTTTTGACAGCCACAAACGCGAGCGTCAATATGCAGCGGTTCACTGAATGCCCTAAATTTCGAAATATGTACTTATTTTACTTTCACTTCAGTAAATCGTTTCAATCAGTCTTTTACCCGAGTCTTATTCAAGGCAAGTCCTTCCACTTAAGTACAAAACGTGAGTACGAATGCCACCTCTGACCAAAGTACATACAGGATGCGCCGAAACATTTCCTCAAACCCTCGCCCTTTAACGCTAATATCAATTAGCCGGCCTTGTTGACGGTGCACCTTAAAAAAAAAAAAAAAGCCCGGTGAGCATTTAGATTGCTTTGACCCCGACGCTCTCGTCTCTAATCAGCCCTTTGCTGCTATTGATCGCAAAGACCAGGCCCTCGCATCACCAAAGACCCGGAAAGCCCTTTTGTTTGTCTTATTTATGACTAAGCTAGTTAGCACGTGGGGCTGAGAGAGACATTATTGGTTGCTTGCGAAACAATAGAACGTGTCACTTTTCATCCAACCCTAAATCCTTTTTTTTAAAATAATGATAACCTGTCACCTGATAAGATGTCCACTGTAGTAACCTCTGTCCCTGAAAAGGTTAATAAAGTACAGTTGTACCTGCATGAGTTAAATTCCTTTCCTAAAAATTGCAATAGTAGAGCGTCTCGCCACTAATTCTCACTTGGAAAAAAAAATGGCACTTTCACTTCTTTATTATTATTTACCGTTCAATTCACATTGGGTGCAGGTTATTTTGATTACCGCCCCCCCCCCTTCCCTTAATCGATTCTTTTCACTCGCTTCCTGCTCGGGCTCTCCTTTCTCCCGGCCGGTTTTTCTCTTGGTATTCTGCCGCCGCTCCCCTTCAGCTCCCGGCCTCTTATCTAAATCTCCATTCCGAGTCAGTCCGATAATGCGGGTCGCTTGCCAATGACAGACCTAAAAGGCATCCAGGGAGCTAAAGGGAGAGGTGCAGTCGTGACGGTTGACTGGCGGACGGGCGGACGGACGGGTGGACGGACGGCCGCGTGGTTAAAAAAAAAAAAAAGCTTGCAGACATAATAAGCAGCTTGATATGAAAGTGAGCGTACATCTGTTGTTTTGCTATTTCAAGAGCCACGGGCTGCGAGAGATCAGCGGCAAATACTCGCCAGATGCCCAAGTGTTGGAATAAAGCCACATGTGCCCCCCCCCTTTACTTTTGCAAAAATATTCTTTTGTAACTCGCACAAAATTGATAAGAAAAGGATGAAAATGAGCTTTGCGGACTTCCAGTAAGAAAGATAATTAATGAAAAAAAAATTTCAAATTGTGCTGCAATTGCAATTTTTCTGTCATATTCAATATCATCAGTCAATTTGTCATTAAAAAAAAAAAATCAAGACAAAGGTTGAAGTGGCTTCATCACTTTTGGCAAGGAATATGATTTTTTTTTAACTTCAAAAAAATGTCGGATTTTCGAATAATTTGCAGCTAATTTCCTACATTGTGAAATTCTCATGGGTGGCAGGATTACATAAAAAATGTGTTCTGATACAGTTTACGAGTCTTCTTACGAGTTTTTGTCTGGTTGCTATCTTTAATGCGGCAAAGGGCTCAATTCAACAAGCGACCTCTTAGAAACCGCACATTACAAATACAATACTGCAAAATACAACAATGTCTCCCGAATGAAACTGCGACTTTCTGTCTGATGGTGGAACCGTGCAAAATGCTGACTGACTCGAAGTGGCCGGGGAGGGGGGACGGGTCGGGGACCCGGGGAGGTAAAATGTGTTGTGTTCAAGGACACTCCGACGAAAGGTTGTTGACACCGACCGGTCACCTTTGATATGATTGCATCCCTGTTTCGCAGGGGAGTCGGTTCTTGGCAACGAAGTCCTGCTTTGCGTTAAAGTCACACTTGAGTCGGGAAAATTTGCATGAGAAGTCTGGCAATTCACTTTCGGCTCAGGTCAGGTTGCAAGTTATCGACCACAAGTCTCAGGAGTAAAAGTGTGTAGTGTGGCTCGCGCGGTGTCAAGGCGATCGATATCGACTGGACTTTCTCGCTTTGTCTCAGCATCAGCCGATTCACACTTAATGATTAAAATCATGAAAAAGAGTCATTAGGGTGGACATGCTCTTTTTCAGGGATGGTCTCAATCTTGCCTCCCATCTAGGCAGTCGGGGCGGTACAAATATCGATATCTCATCATCATCTCTTCTGGCACCGTATTAATATGTTAAATGGAAACGGAGCAGTCTGACCCTGCAAATATCCTTGTCTGTCAAGTTGAAGTTTTGTTGTCCCCTGAGAGTCTCAATCATCCCTCCCGTCAAGACGTTTTGGCCAAAATACCAATTTAAAACTGAAATCTGTTATCACCTGAGCAGTATTTCACAAGCTGCAATTTTCACAGGATCCGTCTTGTGATATCGTGAGCAAATTAGAGCGATATTGTGACAATTGCGAGCGACTTTTTTTTTCCTGCGCTTCCCAGCCTTAATGGACTCTCAATAAAACGTTTACCGGCAACTATGGTATCAGGCCGGTCCTCCCACCGCGCTGACAAAAATACGTCTACACAACACCGTTGACTCTTTTTCTCCTCCGAGTGTTCCGAATTGATCAACACCCCGGGTGTCTCTGCGAGCCCACATGTTTTATTTTTAGTCGTCTCTCTTTCCACCCTCGCATCTCCCAGTGTGCCTTCATCCATCCATCCATCCATGTCGCTGTGCGAGTGCTACCACATCCACACTCTTAATGTACCTTAAAAGCCTGATTGGATTTCTTTGTCCTCATGTAGGTAATACAATGTGCGGTCTGTGTGTGTGTGTGTGTGTGTGTGTGTGTGTGTGTGTGTGTGTGTGTGTGTGTGTGTGTGTAATGTGATGCAGGCTTTTAATTCAAGCAAGGAGATGGAGTCAGCAGGTGGAGGTCACGACCCCTGCTGGAGGACACACTTGTAACCTGACAGGAAATTGATTTGGAGGTAAAGTCGAAGAACACACCAGGCGGGAAAGCTGCTGGACTGTGTGATTGCTGCATTGGCGTGTGTGTGTGTGTGTGTGTGTGTGTGTGTGTGTGTGTTTGTGTGTTGAATCAGAAAGATAGCAAAATGGAAAGTGGTAAGGGGAAATAAAAGAGCATCCACCTGAGAAAATCATCAATAAAGTAAATGGTTCAGGTGGTTGTCACCATTCTCTCATTTAAAAAAAAAAAAACGACTCGGCGCTAAAACTTCTTTTTTACACTCGTATGTGCTCTCATAATGCAACTTCAAAATGTCACTCGAGTCACGATGGCTTGAATGAACAAAGAACCTCAAAAAGTCAAAATGTCATTCGTTCACTCGCCTGTGAACCGAACAACCGAGGCCACATATCAAGATCCCCACTTTCGATTTGACGTTTTTTTTCTTAGCAACTTTAGCGGCCATTTTTCTTTTTCCTCTAGGCAGACGCTTTCAAACTAACTCTGTACTGAATGCCGTTAGTGTACCTCATGAAATATCCGGTAACTTCAGTTCGAGTTAAAAGAGGGGACGGGCGCAACGCTCGCGTCCTGACGAGATTGCTTTTGCGCTGATGGTCGACGCAGCGCCGCCCTCCTGCCAGATCGATGCGGTCAGAATGAAGTGGTGGCCGTAATCAATTAGCTTTATCGCCGCCAGAAGCGGGGGTGGGAAAAAAAAACACATCAAGAACCTCAGGCTGTGTTCAGAATCCACTATTTAGTGAGTCACCATTTTGTAATGCTGCTGGAAAGTGTAATGACTGTCGTGCGCTTAACCCACAATGGATGTCTCTTCGTGACCGAGTAATGCTCACTAAAAATATCAAATACATCCCGTGATGCATTGCGCTGATCGGGAAAAATGATTGATTTCAAAATCGATGGTATCATCTGAGATTCAACACAAGACAAAAATTCATGAGTTGCGCAGCAAAAATAGCTTTGATATCAGGTGAGCAACACTGGAAAGGATGTGTGCTGTGCCACATTTCACGTTCAAAATAAAAAGTCCTGGATGGCTCCGTTTCTTTAGGACGTAACGCAAGTCAAGAAGGAGCCGGAATCACAACAGAATGTTGCTGTATGTTAAGAGGTCATAGCTACAGAAAGAAGAAACAAAGATAAGATCAGGAATGTTAGATGAACGCCCTTGGCATTTTATTTATTGAATTGGCTCATTAATCGGTGAGTGGAACTTTATTTTGGCAAATTTCCCCCCAAAAATCCATAGCTGAGATTTGGGGCTAAACTCTGCCAAGCATTGCGATAATCTGTGAGTAATTGACACCGGATTAAAAAAAAAAATAATAACAATAATAATTGCAAATAGATGCCACAAGATGGCAGTAAAGCACGAGTTGTTTTTATGAGACAGCGGGGTAGAAGTCGGGAATGAGTGAATGATTCTGAACACGGTCGTTAAGTTTATCGCTAATCACTCTAGAGGACATTTTAGTGACGTATATATCACACTGTGTAAAAATGGTGCTATAGGGCTCACTGAGTCAACGCAGCCTCACGCTTTCGCTGAATGCTTCGTTAGATACAAAGTAAAAATTCCAAATAACACTCGTGTAGGCTCCGTAAATGGTTTACGTTGCCATTTTGGGCCAAATCCCCCACCACCAACATCACCGTATCGGTCTCGATTTGTTTTTCTAAACACAGAAAAATACACGCTCACATCGAAATGCACACCACACACACACACACACACACACACACACACACACACACACACACACACACACACACAATCCCTCAAGCATCAGCCATGGAATTGAAAAATCTCTTCAGAGAAATAATGGAGCTGTGGCCACCCCGCAGCATTAATGTGATAGTTTGTGTGCCTTTGTGTGTGCGTGTGTGTGTGTGTGTGTGTGTGTGTGTGTGTGTGTGTGCGTGCGTGAGATTTTGTCATCATCCTCAAGGTGGGAAATGGAACTGTGTGCTCCCAGATTGAACATGCTGGTTCCAAACTACCAGAGCCGTGATTGGCTGCTTAAACTTATTCTCTCTTCCCCTGTTGTGCCTTAAGATAAGAGTTTCATTCATTCCATGAGCACAGTCTTAACTCAAAAAACGTTATGTCAATTCACCTTTTCCCAGTGAACTAAATAGAAATGCCAATAATTCATTCCAGCCCCCCCTCCCCCCATAAAAAAAACAACACCATTTTTTTGCAATGTGCTTCCTAATACAAAACAATTGCACTCCATCACACTTTATAAAAATGTTGTATAATGACATCATTCAATATAATGTAAAGAATTAAAAACTCTGGGTACATTTTTCAATTCATATTGTGCTGTTGCTTCTCGTGTGTGTGTGTGTGTGTGTGTGTGTGTGTGTGTGTGTGTGTGTGTGTGTGTGTGTGTGTGTGTGTGTGTGCGTGTGTGCATCTTGGCCTGCTGGAGGCAGTATAACAGAAATTGAGATTGAGCCGCACACAAGGAAGAGTTTCATGATTGACTCAGTAAGCTGCAGTGACAATTTTTTTTTGGGGGGGGGGCAAAGGATAAAGCATATAGGCCTGTGAGTAGTGTTACATTGTAGTATCATTTTTATTGTTTATGTCCAAATATCTCTTGCTTGAAAAGGTTTATAAACATCAGGACAATGACACTATTTGTTAGCTGTAGTGTTTTGCAAAGCAATGTCGCCGTTTTAAATCCAAACATATCATTCGATGTCTTTTATCATCATTCACTTGTTTTCCTCCTCTCTCATCACGATATCAAACTAGATTTTTAATCAACTTTGTCGTGAACTGTATCGTCTACGACTGCATATAAATCTCCCTCAAAGTTATGAGAGAGTGGCGAATGAGCGACTGATTCCGAATACGGGCAAAGTTTGCGCAGTGGTCATAGTGGCGAGTTGCTAAAGAGCTTAGCGGCTGGTGAAGTAAAGAGGATTGTCATGGGGGGCTGCTTTGTATGCCGAGATATTATTATGCGCATAGATGAGCACATGAATGAGGCCTGATTTGTGTGTGTAGGGGGGGTAGAGATTTTCCATGACTATCAGACTTTGGGACGGGTTCCAATGCATAGATTGATAGATGAATGGATAAATAGGTAAAGGGGTTATAGTGCCAACTGTTTCTTTGGCATGCAAAGACAGCCTGCTCATGTGTTTCTATGCAGTCGGAAAAAATGAGTTGAGAGAAGGATTTTAAAAAGGATGAATATTTTTGGCGACGGTTTCAAGTTAGGGTTATGCTTTCAGTAGGGTCTCAAGTTGGGGTGAGGGTTTCCAATTATGGTGAGGGTTTTGGGTTAAGGTTGTGGTTTTAAAGTAGAGTTTTAAAACAGAGTTATGGGTTGAAGTTGAGTTTTAGGGTTTCAAGCTAGGCTTAGATGAGGGTTAGGCTTCAAATTCGGGTTTGAAACTAATGTGAGGGTTACAATTTAGGGAGGGTTAGGGAGGTAAACCAGGATTAACAGTTTCAAAGTTTGAAGTCGGGATTCAGGTTTTAAATTGGGTGGTCGGGTTCGAAAGTTTCAAGAAAGGTTTAGCAAGGCAAAGCAAGACAGATATTCATTGAGGAAGAGCATTTCATACACAAGGTAACTCAATGTGTTTCACATTTAAAATGATTCAAAAACAAAAACATTTCAAAACAACCTAAAGTCAGGATTAGGGTTTCAAGTTCCAAGTTTCAAGGTTTTAAATTAGGGTTATGTTTCAGGTTAGGGTCAGTACAAAGTATTGAAGTCGGGGTTAGTCTTTCAAATGTTTCACTGGTTATTATTTGGGGTTTTGTGCCAAGGTTTGGGTTTTCACTGCAGGGTTATGGTATAAAAGTCAGGTTTCCAGAAAGGGCTAAGATGTCTGGGTTGGGGTTTCAACCTAGTAAAATATGGTTTCAAGACAGTGTTGGCGGTTTCAAATGAGGATTTTGAATCAGGGTCACGCTACTGTCAGATGAAACGCGAGTTGTATCTTCGATGTAGTTCGCTTGGACCGGTGGGAATGCCCACTGGAACCGTCCAGTGGGCAGTGGACGTTTGACGCGACAAATGTGTTTATTCAAACGATTCACTGAGATTTGCTAATTTGAATTTTAAACTTTTTCCAGCCTGGATTAATACAGCTGTACATTTTGTAGAATTTGATACAATCCAAGAAGGCTCCTTCCAAATCAGGCATTTAGAGTTTCTTTTTTTTTTTTTGTTCCAGCCATCTCCAGCCAGACGGCAAAAAAAATAAAACTTATTTGACCACATGCTGCTATTTTAAAACCGTAGAACTGCAAGACTTCACATCGGGAAGTAGTAAAAGAAATATATAAAAATAGAGGTTCTTCTGTCTGGAGAGAGCGTAGGAGCGCGTCTGAGCATGAATAATAGGCACTAAACAGCACACTGAGTCAGGTGAGGATGAGAGGGAAAAGTAGGAGGAAGAGGAGGAGGATGAAGAGGAGGAAGGATGCACAACTAATAGTCACTAAACACCACAGTGAGTCGGGTGAGGATGAGAGGAAGAGGAGGAGGGGAAGAAGTAGGACGCAGATGAAGGATGTACACTTAGCAGGTGATGCTAAAAATAAAGCAACTTGATGACGGACGATGTGTTTGTTTTCATATTTATTTAAGGCTTTATGTCTTGTGCAAATCCGACGCGGCCATGCCGTTAAGAGCGCAAAAGCGGGTAGAACCCGATGCTGGTCATTTCGTAGACAAGCACAGACCAGCATAGCAGCAAGTGGGAGCCTTGCGCCGCTGTGGGAGTGGACACAGGTGACTTTGATGCTAACTCGCTATCAGTTCCTGTTGCTTTTAAAGATCAGTGTTTATCGGGGTATCAGATTCATATTGGTGTGCGATTCGTGTTAGCATATTTGATTCACATTACTTGTCTGATTCATATTAGCAACTTCATATACGTTGCACATTGTGTGTACAAGACAACTCAATTAACGGTACTTTTTAACGATATATGTTAGCGGATGTGACTCTACGGCAGTTTAGCAACGCTACATTATAAAAGTACCAAAACTACTATAATTTTTCCTCCCTAAGTATCAGTATTTGTAACAAAAGCTAGATGTGATTCCACAGTTGCTTCGCATCACAAAACTGTAGTAGTGTTGCTGTAATTCTTACTGTTTCTTCAAGGATCCGTGTTTACAAACGTTGGCGTAAGTGATTCTTGAGTAGTTCAGCAAAGATAGACTTTAGTTAATCCTTATTGTTGCTTTTAGAACCAGTATTTATTGACGTTAGCTTGTGGGAGAAATGTTAGCGTATGTGATTCCAAAGAAGCATAACAAGTCCAACAATGAAGAAAATCTTCAAGTAATGCCATGTTTTTTTCAGTAATGTATTTCTAATATGCACAGATGATGTCGACACAACGATCATACACGCACACGCTCGCATACACTCACACACATCAAACACACGCGTTCCGACAGCTTGAAAGCTTCGCCATGAGTGTCATGGCTGTCATTAGCTAAAAGGCCCGAGGCTGGAGTGCGACCAGAATAATTATTCTGATTATAGTCCCCCAACTGAGCTCTATCCAAACAAATTATGCTCCCGCGGATTAAAATCTGCCGTTTCTAAATGGAGACCCTGGAATTGATGACATCATCAGCCTCTGCCTTGACCACGGGAAATTCGTCCCCATTCGTGGACCTTTTTTTTTTTTTTCCCCTCTCCTGCATTTGCTTCCACCGTCCTTCCACAAAATGTCTGTGACACTTGGTCTTGGAAAAACTTAAATGAGTTCTACAGATCCTTAGATCCTTTTCGATGGACTTTTCAAGTCATAATTCCAGAAAACGTACAGTCTGCTCCCAGTATGTTGCCCATAGCAATTAATCCACTCATTTTTTTGTCTGATTTTGTAATTCCCAATTTCAGCTGTCTATCACTATTATACTGTTTGTATCGAATTAAATATTTTGGTTATATTCCTGCTACTTTTGGCCAATTGAAAAACAAACATTTTGAATTTTTTGTTATTTGCTGGATGGATTCAGACAATTTTTGTAAAATGGGATGCAATCTCGACTCACCACTTTAAAATGTGTTTTTTTTTTAAATGTTTGTTTGAATCTGCGGGCTGTAGAAAGACTGGACTTTTTCGCGGTGCCTTGACATATGACACTCATGTTGTCGCAAGTCATCTTTCGTCACTGAAGTGAAGGCAAATGAAATTAATCTGTTCCTCGCTCTCCCAAAACACCCAATTTATTTGTAACATGTTTTTTTCCTGATTACGAATGCACCCAAAAGTATTTTACTTAAAGACACACAGTAATATTTGCTATCCACAAAACCTGCAAACATAGAAAAAGCGAGCGCGAAACATAACTGTACCTAATGATTCGTCCTTTCTTGTTCTTCCTCCGCGGGGGTTTCTGGCAATTAGTAAACCAGCTTCCTGGTGCATTAGCGCCACCAACTGATATTGTCCTTCGACCGCAAGGAAACCAAAGTGAAAAAGGGTAGTGAAATCGATTTACTTTAAATTGAGTGCATTTGATGTAGCAGGGCGCTGAATAGTCCAACCGCTACTTTTATTGCTAAATTATCGCTCCTATTGTTCTCCAATTAAATCCAAACATACCGATTTTCAACCCCTTCTTCCTTTCACTGTCTGTCTTGAGCACTGGTCTGATCTCACTCACCACTCGAGGAAGAAAATAGATTTGGTGGAACAGAATCAATACAAAATATGTTCATGTTCTGAGGGATGCGGCTGTGCATACGGCATCAAACACCAGCGTGACGCCAGTCGACACACCACTGGAAAAAAAAAAAAAAGAATCGATCGGCTTTAATTCATGAATCGCACACTATTATGGTATTGACACGGTGGTCTCGGCGTCTTTCGCAACGGAATCGATTGCGGCCACTTTATCATCCCACCGTTCCGAAGCATCGCCACTTTATTTGTACTTGTATCACATAAAGTAGTTGCCCCCTTTTCGAGGAAGGCAACCGAGTGTATGGCACTCGCTGGCGATTCCATAAATGCAGTCACACATTTTTCAAGCTACAAGTTATCGCTTACCGGGCGAAATATGAGGTTTGAGCCAGCTTTAGATAGGCTTAAAAAAAGAAGTGCAAAAGTCACTTATGCACTTTATTTATTGAATGGAATAAGCACCCAAATGCAAAATTAAAAACTAGGGCCTCACCGATATGGATTTTTTTTTTTTTTAGGCCATTGCTGATTACCATATTTCGCAAAATAAAATTGCAATAACATATTAATTAGCCAATTAATGAAGAAAAATATTGAATTAATGAAATAACTTTTTTTTTTGCTCCTTTCATGCCTACAAAAAATAGATATGAATTACAGACTTGGCATTTTCGATGCATTTGTTGTATTTAATTCCGATTTACAATTTATACATTTCATCATAATTATGGTCAGCATTCTCTTATCCGGACGGAGGAAACTCGGTTCAGCCGCCTCTATTTGGGATCTTATTTTTTCAGTCGCAACCCACAGTCGGTGACCGTAACATCACTGACATTTGCTCATAACATCGTTTGCTGTAAGCGAAGGGTGAAATTTGTTTACAACTAGAAATCGGATGTGAAAAGAAAATATTTTGGGGGCATATATCACCCAGTAAGACTTAATGATAAAAAAGTGTTCTTTAGATATAAAATGGAATATCTGAAATGACATTTTCATTGTTGAGTCTGCCAAGCGGCGCACGAAGCGTCTCGAATTCAGTCACGGACGCACATGAATTAAATATACTTGTGTTACGTTTCAGCATCCGCACTCATGCGCGAATAGGCGGCGTGCGCTTGTTTTGACACACGATACACGCCAGCCGACAGCGACACCGACAACAATTTAAAAGTCTATAACCGGTTCTCCGCTGGTGCACCGTCAGCCTGCTGCTGCTGCCGCTACTTTGCTCATTCAGTTTTGTTGTTTTTTTTCCCACTGCAAATTACTACCAGCAGAGGTTTGACAGCCCGTTGTTATTTTTAGACGTACGTGCACAGTCTCCCGCTAATGTTTTTTATTTATGGCGACAAGTGAACAAGACGAAGACGTATTGTACTCTTTCAAGGCAAAAGGTTAAATCTCTTCTTCTTCTCTCCACAGGCTGATTGCCGAGTAGCGAGGACTTTCATTGGATGCGACGCCAGTAATGAGCTAAAGGTGGGCGCTGCCAGTTTTTGACCCTTCCACTGTTTGTGCGAGCGAGTGCGGCTTGATTCAAAAGGCCTGTGAATTGACGTTGACGCGGCTCGCCTGCTTAGCATTCCGCTAAACGTGCTTCCTCCCCTCACACGGAGGGCGAGTCAAAGTGACGGCTGAAAGGAGGCCATTTTTCCCCTTTTTTTTTCTTCTTTTTTTTTTAAGCCAAAGCATGCAGTGTGAATTTGCTCTAGTAGCCATTTGGAGGGATTTCTAAAAATTCGCCATATAATGCAGATGTGATCATCTGAGGTACATTTTATTTATTATTTTTTTAATTCAGTCACTGAAGCCTGTTTCACTTGACAACATGGAATTTGGTGTTTATCCTTTTTCGGCCCCACAAAAAAAGTCTCATGTGAATCGCTTTGGTTATTGGGTGTGAGAAGATAACAGCAGAAAGTATTGATGACTTGTCATTAAAAAATATTTGTTTTCATTTCAGGCCCCTTACATGATGAACTTTAAAGGCTGTTCTAATTTTGTAGCAATTGGGGCAACATTTCTAGAGCAAGTTAAGCTTGTAAACATCCAAAATGTCTGCTTTCAACCAAAATAGCAGACTTCCGGTGTGTTTTCCGGCATGGATTTATGAAACTCATTTATAGATTTTAGACTGATAAGACACATGAATGATCTTCAGGAGTTGAATTTTCTTTACACTCTTCATTCCTTTTCACTTTTTGCAACATCCACCTTCCTGTCACGCTTTATCGGAAAATTAAATGGTTGGCTGGCCTACAGCAACGTCTTCAAGAGCACTTGTGGGAAAACATTTGATGTGATCACATGTTCAAAAAAAAAAAAAAAAGAATAAAAATAAGGCATTTGCCCTCTGGCCACGCCTTCTCAAAGACATGCATATCGCACCCGGCATAACCCCTTTAAGCATCCACCCCTTCCTCCCAATGGCCTGCAAGCGTTGAATAGATTAAAAAGGTAGATCCAATCGATCCCGAGAGCGCTTATCAGCAGCTGGCAGGCTGACGAGCCGATCTCAGAGTAAAATGTTCTAAGTCTTCAAAATTCAGGCAGAGGAAAAAAAAGAAAAGACAAAGGACGTTCACAACTGTTCAAAACTTTGGCTCATGACTCCAAAATGTCAAAATGATCATTTTGACATTTCTTTCAATGGGCAGTTCTTGTATTGGAGCTTTAATGGTGCACCTCATCAAGTGATTGATGAGTTGATACTCAAATCTGAGCGTGTCGCCGTTCTCTGCGCCACGTCTATATATTTTGAAAAAGTGACAGTGACGGGTGTCTGGCAGTTGTGATAAGCAGCAGGTATTAGCCAGCGAGGGTGGAGATTCACACAAAAACAGCAGCAGGCCGAGTTTTAATGCCCTTTACTCCTATTGATTAGCCTGCGGGGCTGACTGATGGGCAGCGAGATACAGGAGAGCACACATCAATAAAAAGCCGCGGCTAGCTTTTTAAAGGCGCGCCGACACACAAAAGGAGAATAAATTACACTTTGGTCCGCTCGGCTGCAAAAGCTGTTTGGTGCCTAAAAACCCAGAAAAGCTATCTCAACATTGTGGGGGCTGCAAACACTTTAAAAATGTGACTTAACTTTCAAAAAAATAAAAAAAAAATCTCATTTTGAGAGGTAAGGCTGCATTTGTGGAAGGTTTCATTGAGATGTTGATCTTTTTTTATTCAAACTTTGACAGTCAAACCAAGCAATACTTATTTGAGAAAACACACATATGTCATAAATACGCATCGGAATAAAATGGAAAAATGGATTGGAAATCAAAATTGCACAAAATTGGCCTAACTGTGCACAAACGGAGGCAAATAATAAATCCCCTTTAATCCGCTCGATTTTAGTTTTATCACACTCAAATTCCTGAGATTAAAGGAATCAGATCGTCTAATTCAGCTGATTAAGGTGTTTTTGGTCACATGATGCGGCTGACTGATTTAAATATGCATTCATTGTGCCGGCCAGAGCAGCTAAAGATTATTTTTGGATGTCACGATCACGTGACATGTTCACAATACTCGGTTTTGAGTGATTGACCATATGTTTTTTTTTTTCTTTTTTCTTTTTTTTTCTTGTGCGTGTAGTTTGCAGTGTGTAAAGTATCTTGTAAGGTGAGGATAATAAGAGTATTACAAAGAGCGAATGGAGTGAAATTGCTTTTCCGGAACTCGGGAGGACGCGAGGTACAGCGAGTGATCCTGCGATACGAGATGAAACGTTAGTAGCACAAAAGTCACATGGCGCGCACACACGATCATGTTCTGACCCGGAATTGGCGCTTCTGTTGCTTCTTTAAAAGACTTTCCGCAGGAAATGGTTTGGTTGTATGGGAATGAAGCAAGATGGTGGTGTGATTTTATGGGATTGGATTAGATTGCCTTCGGGTGTACCCAATAAATTGGGTGCAGATTTTGAATAGGAAATCAAGAGTTTTTTTCTGACCTGCATCCATGACAAAATGGAAAAAGATATTAATTAAAAAAAAAGACATTTAATGATAAGGTTGGTCACATATAAACCATATGTTCATCTACATTTTAATATCTTGACGATGGGTTGAATCGATTAGTCAACTAGTCGACATGCGCACGTTACTAGTCCATGTTGGCGTTGTAGTTTCAATCTATTTTTTCCTGACAAAATATGGCTACGGGAAAACGTTGTTTAGGGGAAAAAAATGATGTGATTGATTAATCGAGTTCAACTTCACTTTGATCGCACTACAGTCTTCAATATTGACAAAAGAGACAACCAAAAAAACAAAAAAAAAATGTTTCATATAATTTGCATTTCGACCAAATTAGTTAAAAATGAATACGTGAACTATTCGGTCGATTATTTGCACATATTGGCTATTAAAGTGAAACTGATAACGACACAACAGAAATAAAACTAAAGTACACATGACAAAGTCAAATATATTTCTATCCATTCTCCTGACAGTTCCACACATTTACAGCAAAGTTGTGCTCCTTTCGGCCATCAAGCAATGTCGTCACACATTTTCACCCACTGCCGCGTTACTCCTATGCGTTATTACTTTTTTTTTTCTATTTCTGTTGTTTTTCATCAAATCACACGTCAATTCCCCGGAAGCAGCATTGGGGATAAGGACGCCTTTTGCGGGTGGAGGCGGTGGAAAGGGGGAGAACGCGTATGGAGGCGGGGAATATCGAGATAGAAGAATACACACACAGACAACAAATGTAAGCCCCTGAGGATTAAGTCACTGAGGGAAAGAATGGAGCCGGGGAGGGGGGCGGGGGGGATTTCCATGCAGCATTGCCGTTTCCTTTTTTGAGATCTCACTCATGTTTCAAATTTAATATCTTTACTCTGCAGTTCGCCGAGGCGCATGATTGGCCGAGCCGGACGACAATTCCTCTATTCTCTCTCTCACTTTCCTCCTTCCTTCGTTCCGTCCCCACCTGCCTTCAACGTGGGGCACTAATAAGACGGATTGATGCAATAGCTGCCACTTGGGCCACTGTATTGAAACAGATCAGACAGCAATTTAGACAGATTTAAATGAAATGCCTTTAATGCGGCTAAGAGCAAAGTTAACGCCCCCTTGTGGCGTGGAAGACCGCTGAACTTGGACATGTTCGGAGTTTAATTTCCCTTTGCCATCTCTTCATGCGCTGAGTCAGCCGTTCTTCTGCTGTGTCATCACAGGCACTGAGACACAAACACGCAGAAGTAGAAATATTTGATTTTCCTCATGTCTAGCCTCTTTTTGGTCGTCATTTGGTTTCTCTCTGCGGCCGATTGTCCCCCAAAAGAATCCCAAGCATTTTATTTTTTTCTTTAGGCTTAAATCGTTTCCAGACGTTTTCCCTTTGGGCAAAACACACACACACACACACGCACACACACGCACACACACAAACATGCACACAGAAAGCCTTGGTTTTGCACTGAATCTTTATCTCACAAACACACACACACACACACACACACACACACACACACACACGCAGAGAGATGTCCTTAAGGGACACAGGGAGCTAAAGTTGATTTCTTCTCAACACACTTGTGTTAGTGTGGTTTGTCTGAACTGTTTGGTCTGCTTGCTTCTCCAACGTGAATTAAAGGAAGCCGAGGGAGCAGCAGTAACCTCGTCCGCGACCTCCTCGTAACTACAAATATTTTTTACGAAAATGTGAAAGTCTTCAGCGTTTTGTTTTTTGTTGGTTTTTTTTTTTTGGAGGCAAGGACCAGACTTAGGTTCAGTGGCCCGGCACTGTAAATTATTTTTTTCTTCCTTTTAAACCAAAATATGAGTTGGAAACTAACCCTGTCTTTGAACCTTAATTCTAAACCCCGATTGGACACCTTAAGCCTAATTTTACATCAAAAATAAAGAATATGCGAGAGGCTGGAAAAAAAATCTGCTGCATGTGAATATTAATATTCACTTTGCGGGGTGTATTGTAATGTAGTGCAGCAGTCAATTATTGTGTCATTTCAACTATGAGGCAGTAATTGCCATTCCAGACACTACTGAGCTGTGACAGAAAAGAGGAACGAAAGAACAAAAGTCGGATGAATGGAGAAATATGCTGCGGAGGTGAAGGAATGAGGAGTATTAATTAAGATGCCAGTTAATTGAGGGTGCCCTCCGAGTTTCTATTTGAGTCAATAACGACCGCGGCTGTGACATTAGCGCCGACGAACGCCCTCTTTTTTTTCCTCACTTTCTAAATTGAACATCGGAGATTAGCGCACGGTAATTAAAAGGGCTAAATGGTGGAGAAAGTCGTTAAAGTGCGCCGAAAGCGTCGGTCAACGGTCTAATCGGAGGCAGCTTTGTTTCGCCTCCGGCTTCGACGCATCTCATTTGGGCGGCCGTTGAAGACTTTTGGATTCCACAAAGAGGACAAATCGGGTGGAGAAACAGCTCGGGAAACATATTAAAATTTTTGTCATGGGGTAATTGGAAGAGAACTTTCATTGTTTTAAATGATGTCAAAATAATTGAAAACATGAAGCCTCTCTCCCTCTCTCTCTCTCATATAGTTGAGTCACGATCATGATGCTCCCTTAAAACAAAAACAAACAAACATGCTTTTCAAATGTCTCCAATTAATTGTTCTCGGGCGGCGAAATAATGTACCATAAACTGCACGTCACTGCGGCACAATAAGCGAGAAAAAAAAGGCACGAAACAGTTTTCCAAACAAAACAGAAAATGAAAATACGTTTTGACCGAAGTGAGATGAAGTCAGATGAGTCATTTTTCACTGAGGATAAAGAATACTTTCTGGGAGCACTGCTATATTTACCTCTGTCTGTCGATGCTAGATTTGTTAGCCTGTCAATGGCGTTTTGAATTGTGTTTTAGCATTAAGCTAACATGCAAAGAAAGTTATCTGCCATGGCGAAGACAAGATAGCCTTTATTTTTCAAGAAACAGTGCGCAATATTCTGAGTATATGATACCACAAAAATACAGTTTGAGTTTAACCCATCCGTGACGATTGTAACTCGAAACACTTGTATCTCGAAACAAATAAAAAATAATTCCGTTTGTCACCCTGTATCAACTGAATGGCCTTTGTGCTGCTCCTTCCGGTGCCACTTGGGGGCAGTAGAAAACGGACAGACGGATATACCGCTCTTCGAGACACCTCGATTCCTCTCTCAGCTCGTCACAACAGCGCTAATAATTGCCATTCCGCACAGAAGACAAAGAATCTATGATCATCAGCCCTGTTATTCGGAGCTCTTGTAACGCACATGATAAAACAAAGACATGGAGGGAGAAAATGAGAAGGTGCGACGGCATCGTCAACAGTCATGGACGACGTTGCAAACGAAGAGCATGAGTAAATGAAATCAAAAGGGGAGAAAGATAAGCGATGGCAAGCATGACAGTGGCTCAACGATGCGTGTGGAGCGTGCATCACAACTGGCCAATCAAAGTGGATTGTTGTGTTACCACACGACATTTGCATGAATCACGCAAATGTAGTATTACAGTAGTGACGTGTGAGCATGTGTGCGGTAGAGGCTTGTGGGTGCTAATCAGCACTCCAGTTGCACTTATGGCTCAATACTAATCACCTACACACACACACACACACACACACACACACACACACACACACACACACACACACACACACATATATATGTACAGTACATAAGCTTACTGTCAAATACAATCGCACGGTTATAGACACACACACACATGCTAGAAGTAACATCAACTGTGTACACACACACACACACACACACACACACACACACACACACACACACACGCACACGCACACACACACACCATTACAATCACACGTACACAGGCCTACAGTCTGTAACTCACACACTCTGCTTTGAGTCACAGGCAGCCACTCTCAGACAGACACACACACACGCACACACACACACACACACACACACACACACACACACACACACACAAAATATCTTTGTGGATCAGTGCCGCCACTGTGTCATTAATACTAATTTGCATGAATGCTGAGAAAGCTTAGAAGCCTTTTCTAATCGCAGCCCACCCACCCACCCACACTCTCACTCTCTCTCACACACACACACACACACACACACACACACACACACACACACACACACACACACTATTGGTTGCCCAATTGAAAAGCAATTAGGCATCAGGTTGTGCACTAAAACGAACACCAAATTTCAAGCTTTTACCAGACTTCCATGCAAATGAGTCACCCTGGACAAACTCCAAAAACTCTTGTTCGTGTGTGTGTGTGTGTGTGGGTGTGTGTGTGTGTAAAGAAAAGGCAAAACACGCAGAGATTACAAGAACGGGGAAAATGATCAGAATACGCTATACGAAATGAAACAACTGTGAAAGACCTTGCGGAGAAAAAGAACAGAAAATGTGAATAGTGGAATGAGATAAATTGACAATACAGTATACCGGTACAAAAATTTGACTATGGCAACAAGTGGGGAATTAGAAAAAACTAGAACATGACTAAATGAGACCGTGGGACATGACCAAATGAGAAATAAAATGATTTAGATGATGGGAACATGACAATCTGATAAGACGAGGAGTATAAGATGAAGTGAAGATGAGTGTAACAGAATGTGGGGAAAGTATATTCCACAAAAAGGAGAGGATGGGCACAGCTTTTTGCATTGCCGGCCTCATAGACCAGCTCAGGAGATTTGTTTTGGAGAGTAATCCCCCACCTCCCACCCCTACGGTAACAGAAAATCTCATTATAAACCTCACATGACCTTTTTTTGTTTTTGTTTGTATTTCATCCCTGGGATAAACACAGTCGGAAACAGAGCTCACATCTGGAGTTGGAGTTCTAGTTTGCACATGGATCAGGAAATGGCGACGAGAAAGATTTGCATTTCTGTGGTCTTTTGAAGAAATGCACTATTTTCAACATGGCGAGAGATGTGGTGCACCCCTCCTCTGTGGTAAAAATCTGAACGAGGGGCTAATGCTTGTTATTCACTTAATTTGAATGCATTGCTCTGAAAGCAGATGGTCACCTGCGGGCCACAGGCTTGGAATCCCTTCACTAGACCCCAGGATTTAATTATGCCACCCAGGAGCCAAATATTACAAAGAATATTACAATGGTCCCTTGAAATACAAGTGACTTGAATTAAAAGTTTTTTTTAAGATAAAAGCCATCGTTATGCCGGGTTTTTTTTTTTTTTTGCCTTGACTTTGAGACATGCACGTTGTATGATGGCAGCGAAGTCAAGTCAACTTTCTTCACGACAAGCAGCACTTTGGCAGAGTGAACAATCTTACTTCAACAAAGAGAGGCTTGAGGTTGTTTCTTTCTCACTCCCTATAAATTAAAAACGAAACATAAAACAAACACAATTACACATTGTGTGCATAAACCAAGCACTGGCCTTGCTTCAGACATATTTGTTTAGCTTAATGCTAACAAATAAAGCATAACTCCTTAGACTGGCTCAGAAAACTAGCATACTCCTCGAACTCATTAAACAATGGATATTTGAACACAAATGGTGCTTCAATACATGTAGACAGACAATACAACAATATATTCAGAGTCATAGTCTTTATCCTCTTCTAAGAATGACTATTACCGCTACTTATAGAGATGAAGGCCATCTCTATGTATCGTGTATCAATGTCTGTACTTTTATAAAACACAATACAATCCAGTGCTGTTTTTGTTATTGAAAAAACATGAACATTTGTGTTATTTATATTGTATTAAATTAAATTTTTAAGAGACAAAAGCTCATTCTGAAACAAATTTAAATGCGCGTTGATTAAACCGGGTTGCCCGTGACACGCACACTTGGGGCGCACCACACTTTTGGCAATCCGTGCACTTGACCCTGAAATGTAATCGCGCCACTTAAACAGTGGCTTGTGAATTTCCAGCTTTGTTCGGACACATGTGGCATCAGTTAGCGAGGTCGCAACCCCGCCGCTACAACCTCTTGAACCCCCCCTACTCAAAATTCCCCAAGCAGCATGCGGTCTAATGTTAGCCAATGAATCACAAATGTCTCGGCCAACTCGTGACTCCTTCCACCCGAGGGACACATGCATACGCATATATAAATATACACAGACACACACACTTTATCTATTGTTCTAATGCGACTCTTGAGTCATGTGTTCAGACACAGGAAGTAGGCGGGTTAAAAAAAAAAAAGGGGCTTACTCACCCGAGGGAGTCGTTATCTCATTTGCTGCACAGCTAGCTCTCTTGCACCTCTGGCCAAGTCTGAGGAGGAAATAAATATCTCAAAATGGTAAATTAAACCTCCACTCCTACACGAAATTTCAGAAGTGTCTCAAAGTTTTGTTTTTATGGCAAGTCATCAAATTTGGCCGTCATGCTCGGATCCACATGCTATGGCAACTGATAATATTATTCGCAATTTGGAGTTTTCCACCCATCCAGTAGAAATGCTCCAAATTTGGTATGATGCATACATCTAGTTTGAGTGGGTCAAATTTGATAGAATGGGTGGAAAATAATCTCTAAAACAAGTGTGACCACTGGAACTGAACACATTTATCTAAAATTTCACCAAAAATGGCTGACTTCCTGTATCTTTTCAGATATGACTTGTTAAGACTTTTTTGTGGGTCTATTCATGATAGACTCTCCGACCGAATTTCATGTCGCTCGATGAAACTGGATTCTGGGGATGAATTTTCCACTATCAATTTTTGTCAAGTCATCAAACGTTGCTCCCAAGCTGTGTCCATGATGGCCAAAATTCAAATATTTCCTAATTTTGTGTTGCTCATCGGTCTAGTGTGGTTGAAATTTGGTGGCAATCATCGAAAAAACGTAAACATATCTTGGCCAAAAATCACATTCAAAAATATACAAATAATCTGACTAAAATGTCCACTTCAAATGAAGCAAAATGGTTTCCTGCCTGGATTCTTGAGACTTTTTTTTTTCAGGTTTACCCATAATAGCCGTGTGCCAAATTTCACATTGCAAGATGCCAACAGCTTGTTCCAAAATCCGTGACAAGATGCTCCTGTCATGTTTTCCGCCTCAGAGAAGACAAATTAAATCAATAGCGGCGATATCAAGTTTCATACTTGGGGAGTTGTCACTCATGTCGTCGCCGGTCCCCGCTTCATAAAATATCCTGTTCCTCTATCAGAGTGGCACATTGTTTCAGAATAACAGATGAGGTTGGTCAAGCGAAATGAGACACTGCTGCAGTGTTTTTCCATAAACTGGACTTGTTGAATTAGGCTGACGCTTAATAAACTCTGACACACTGGTGACACTTTGACAGCCTGCTGCGATTCTGTGCCGCCATTAAAATAAGTTGCGATGTCTTGGAATTCTAAAACAGTTTGGGCTTTAATACATTACTTGGAAAAGTGTTTGGAAGAGGAATTTGGTTCACGATAAACGCCTATTTTGTTCAATGTATACATCAGAAGCACGGTGCTGATGTTTAATAAATACCACCATGACAATACATACCGTATTTTCCGTATTGTAAGGCACACACCAAAGCATTAAATTTTTTCAAAAGCTTTATAATCTGATGCGCCTTGTATATGGATCAATATTCTGATTTCTTGGATGGAGTATTTTAAATGTTCTGTAAAGCGCTTTGTTTACAGCTGCAGCGGTTGTGAAAGCTCTATATAAGTAATGCTGCATTGTATTGTATTGTATTCCCTTTAGCATAGCTCCATCTAGTGGATGCATAACGTAACCTCAGCCACGATTGCAGCTTCTATTCTATGCACCTTATAATGCAGTGCGCGCTATATATGAAAACTTTTTTTAAATCAGCCATTCATTGAAGGTGCACCTTATACGCCGAAGCGCCTTATAGTGCGAAAAATATATTTAATGGAGAGTTTTGTTGAGTCAGTCAGTTATTTTGGCGGGAAATAAAGTTTGTTTTAAAAATTAAAATGAAACTTGATTCTAGTCTTTTTTTTTTAAATCCCGACGCCCCAAAAAATACACATTTTTTAATTCGCAAAAGTTTCATTTTCTACTCGTTTACTCTTTCAGTGTTTGCATTTTTTTCTTGTAGGATTCCAACTTTAATATCAGTGATATCATCCTTTTGGGTTTTTTTTCAGCATAGCACGAATACTTTGACTTCAAACATTTTCAGTGGCTTGCATGTAAACATATGTATAAAAATCTATCAGTTAAACTTGCATATTATTTAGTAAGTGAATCCAAATGTATTGGCCTTCCAAGTCGGTGCACACAAACGCTTGAAAATTGGTATTAAATTTAGTTTGTTAAGTTTTTGCCACTTTTCATCTTGCTTTCAAGGTTATTCCGCACAAAAACACACTTCTCCAACAAGTCTCATCAATCAAGTGTCAGGTATAATTAGCCACTGGATGAGCCCGGGTGCGATTAATTATCAGTGCTTCCTGCTTGGCTGGTCATGTGACCAAGCGGGGGCCAGTGAAATGACCCCAAAATCCCAATGGAGGGAAAGTTTCTCAGGGAGAGTTATTGAACATCAAGGGCACATATGGACGCCAAAGTTGCCTTAAAACTATTCAAAATGGATTTACAGAAGTATAACAAAATTTTTTTATTATTATTATTACGTTGTACAACCTTGAAGTGAACATTTTGCTGGATTTTTGTCACAGTCTGCATTGACAGCCTGACTGTCAGGCAGTCAGCTACACCCGCTCCCGATTTAAGGCTTTGATGACGAAACAGCGTGTCATCCATGAAAGAAACGATAACGCTATCCCGAGAATCGCTACTTCCTTCCCCCACCATGTTAGAGCCATGTCACATTTTCCTTGGCTTACAGCACGACATGACTTGTCTTTGGCCCAAAACAAATTCCTCCATTTTGAAAGTGTCACTCTCTCTAATGAGAAGTCATCTGCTCCGTACCCTCACTTTGAAGTGGAATCTGTCAGCATTGATGTCAAAGTCATCAAGCAATTTTCAATTGTCCCTGTGCTTGGGTGTGGCCCATTTGTGTCTTACACAGCCCTCACCTCTTGTCAGAACTTCTGCTTTTTAAATTACCTGACAAAAAATACTGGAGTACACGGCGTGGCCAGCGATGCAGTCCATCAAGTTTCATCTTTAACTTCATCGTATTCCATTTCCGTGACTGTGAATGTGGTTTAAAACTGAACACAAGTTTCTTGACGGCTGCTCCTTTTGGCTCCATAATCACTTCCTTGTTATCACCTGACCAGCAGCCAATCGTACATCTGACTCTCATTGGTGTAGCGCCCTCTATTGTCTCCAGATAGAATTACATGTTATTCAAGAGAATTGCTCCTCACACTTTTGAAAAATGGCGACCATGGCTAAAAGGTGCATGCCAAAGTGACAGCTAGTGCTGCAGCACTTAACTGTGATGTTAGTTGAAGTTACATTTTAATCGAAACTTAACATTTATAACATTGGATTTATCTTTGCCTCACCCCCCAAAAAATCTGAATCTCAATGAGTTGTAAAGGGAAATTTTAATATTACTGTAGCTGTTTTTGTTAAATTTCTACTTTGATGGCATAGTATTAAAAGATATTGTCATCTAAAAAATAATGTCTGTCTCTAAATTTAACAGTTGACAGTTTTTGAAGTTGTTATAAATGTTCTTGTAGGGTGTGGGGTTGTGTTTGTCATTTGTCGAATGCTCCTTCTTCCTCATTAGTATTTCATTTAAATAATCAAATATTATAGATGTTACTGTTTATATTTTCCACCCTAAGGTAGTTATTTTTAAGAAAATCTATGGAGCATGTAATATTGTTTTTCACATTTCGACAGTTTGTAAAACCAAAATGAGAAATCTTGACCTTGAACCATGAATGCCCCCCCCCAAAAAAATACAATTCTCCAGGATTGTTTTTTTTTTTCTTTTCAGTTTGGCTTTTCACTCCTTCCTACATTAGATGCTACTTTCTTTTTGACTGTTATTTAAAATAAAAAGAACTGTCACTGGGGTTTGGAAGGGGGGGGGGGGCTGCTGGCTTTGCTCTTTGTAGCACTGACATTCACTTTCTTCATCCCGTCATTTTGTTTCTTGCACGGCGATTGATGGTCTTTTTAAACAAGAAAACACGTCAACAGAGAGCGACATCGTGTTTCCCACGAGAGTGGACTCATCTCTGTCCAACTACTAAAAACTAAGCGGCTAAATTTACAGATGGCCTTGACTGGATAATTAAAGGCAAGTCGCGTAACAAGACTGCTGAACATCAGGCGGAAAGCTTCCTTTTTTCTGAGCATCATCAATAATATCAACATTTTGTTTGCTTCCAGGCTTGAAGGATATTGGAGGAGAAGTCGAAGAAGATTGACACACGTGAAATCACACTCCGAGCATTCCCCTTGCCAAACAGGAAGTCACCTCAGTGGGGGCTGAGCTCCACTGAGAGAAACCAAAGAGAGAGAGAGAAAGAAAGAGAGAGCGAGAGGAGGTCGGATTTGACGATGATGATGATGATGCTGAGGGTGTTGCTGGTTTTAGCGGGACTCTGCGCCCTTTGTAGTCTGGCAACGGCGAGCCGGAGAGGACACGACTCCCTGGGTCACCGCTCCCACAGACACAGACATGCAGGTGGGAATTGTCAGATTAGGCCTCCTCACCCTTTCATGCACCTTGTAACCTGATAACATGATCAACTGTCCACTGTAGTATCCGCTGTACCTCAAAGGGTTCATAATTCGATAGGTGACTTGAGCTCGGCCGTTGTGTCGCTGTCAACTTTCGAGATGCCAAGAAAACATTGGATGAAGCTTAAATAGCTAAATGTCGCAATTAAAATGATACGTTTGCCGCTTCACCGGGGGCACTTTCTCTTTGTTTTGTCATTAAAACACGAGAGGCTACATTAGGTTATGAAGAGCACCGCCCACACATACTTTCTCACTCTGATGTCCAAGTGGGATTTCCGCTGGCGTGCTTTCCCGCATCCCACACACATACCTTGGCGCTAATCCCAATTGGGAAGAAAAAAAAAGAAAAAAAAAAAGACCCTCAGAAAATAAAACCTTGTGTGTTGCTGTGATTACATGGGAGACTCAATGCAATGTTTGTGTGCGTACGCAGGTCACACGTCAATGCACAGACACCGGCCCCGGGTGGGCAAGGAGGGTCAGGTGTTGCACAGGTCCAAAAGAGGTTGGGTCTGGAATCAGTTCTTTGTCATTGAGGAGTACACCGGACCAGATCCAGTTCTGGTAGGAAGGGTGAGTTGAGCCGCCGACAACAAGGTGTGAGGGGTGGGGGATGCAAAATCCATTCTCATCATTGATTTCAATTTTTATGGCTGCGGTAAAAGCCGGGGATTTATGTTGTGGTGATTTACAAGGCAATCGTTTCTTCTTCTGGGTATTTGATTTCCCACGGATGTTTGCATTTTGCCATATACAGGTAGAGTGATTTTAGTACTTGGATCAGTGTTGAGTATTGAATTTTATTTTTTTTTAATCCAAAACGGAGGTACAGTCAGAATCTTCTCTTTCGTAAATCGGATGGTACCAGTTGCACGAAAGAAGAAAAAAAAACCCGAAAAGTTTCATGCAAAGGTGGTCTTAGTGCAAACATCTGTCTGAAGCACGTACAACAAAAATAATCGTCATTTTAATTATTATTGTTCTTATAATGATTCTTAAAATAACATTTCATTTTATATTTACATTCTTTCAAATGACTTCCTTACTTCATTTTATTGTTTTGTTATCCCATTGAGGGGTTAAGCTGGCCTTAACCGAGAGCCTCTTTTCCTCGTCAAGATGCGGGAGTTGTGAGTGATTGGTGGCATCGCGTCTCAACAACAACAACAACAGAATCAATCAAAACGGCAACGAGTGAGATGACATGTAGCGAGCGTCATATTTCACACTCGGGCGCTTGGAAAAGACGAACAAGAGTTTAATTGAATCGAGGATATTTATCACTTGTTGGATGACAGCCATTTAAATCTCTCGCTTATTAGCAATACAGAAAAAAAAAAAAAACGGTTGTCCATCATCCAGAAAAAGGGCTTGGCTCAAATAAAACAATTTAAATGTGTATTTAAAAAAATATACATATTTCTCTATTTCATGTCAGTTTATTTCAGCCATAAAATAATCGCTGCTCCTTTTTCAACATGATCATTATTGATGTTGAATGTAATTATTTCAAATTCATTCAATGTGTCATCTCCTAACTTGAAGCGTGACATTTTTTTTGGTCGCTTTCCGCCTCCACGCAGCTCCACTCCGACGTGGACTCGGGCAACGGCAACATCAAGTACATCCTGTCGGGCGAGGGCGCGGGAACCATCTTCGTCATCGACGACAAGACGGGCAACATCCACGCCACCAAGACGCTGGACCGCGAGGAGCAGGCTCAGTACACGCTGACGGCGCAGGCGGTTGACCGAGACACCAACAAACCTCTGGAGCCGCCCTCCGAGTTCATCGTCAAGGTGCAGGACATCAACGACAATCCGCCGGAGTTCCTGCACGGGCCCTACTACGCCAGGGTGCCCGAGATGTCCAACGTTGGTAAGTAACAGGCCTACACAGCCGGATGTGGCCGGAATTGTTAACCATTGTGCTTGCGGTAGGGCTGCTGTATTTTTAATCGCTGGACTTTTTAATAAACAATATGGAATGCGATTTCAGTGCAAAACGAAACTTGAGCGAGCTGCTTACAACAATGGCCCTTATCTCTCGTTTTTTGCTGTACTTTCTTCTCACTCTCGTCAGTCGACTTTCGACTCCTGCTGAAGGGTGTCAATTCGGCGATTGGCTGATTGACTGTAAATATCGTCAAATAACGAGTTCATCTTATCGTGGCAGCCCAACTCGTGATCGCAATTAATTGTCGTTCCGACTGTCAAGGATTGTAGTTGGCTGAGCCTGTGAAGGATCGTATGTTTGCAGTTGTAACTGTTTAGTGATCGTAACGTAACAACTATATGAAGGCAGTAGTCTACCATTAATCGATCATCAAATTAATCGACGCCCATTTTGAAAATCGAGTACCCGGTAATCGCTTCGAACCATTGTTGAACTTACGATTGTCCAAATCCTCTGAACCATTGTTTGACTTATAATTGCCCAAATCCTCGAACTTTACCTTCTCAATGGGAAAAATTCTCCGATTTCTGGAGTCCTCCATGAAAGCACACTGATTATGTTTGTTTTAAATCAAAGTAAGACATTCGTAAAATCTGCAGTGACCAAACCAGTGACCGAATCAGTTTAAGAATTCTTGGGGAGTACACCATTAATCCCTCTCTTGGTGTTGCTTATTTGTTGTTTGTTTTGTTTTAGTAAATAAAAATAAAAAATACAACATACTCAGATAATTGGTTCATACAGAGTAATCGGGGGAAAAAAAAATGCACTTTCAGAGAAAAAAAAATTCCCGATATTCGATTGTGACAGTCCTATTGGCTGTTATGAATGTAAAAGACCTTGTAAATTCCATTCGTTTGGTTACTTTGGGGTAATTATTGACTTTTTACTGCACTGTGATTTTATCAATAGAAGGTACTACAGTATTTCGTCATGGGAAACATGACAATTAAACCTTTCATGCAGCCTGAAACGTGATAACATGATAAGCTGTCCCTGAAAGGGTTAAGTCTGTAATTTTGTTTTGTTTTGTTTTAAGTCTTTATCCCGACCTTTCAGATGAAAGCAAAGACTTCCTCAGTCAAGTCAAACGAGTCCAAAAGTCATTGTCCGAAAGTGAGCAAGTGACTGGCGCGTGTTAATGAAGTCCTTGCCGCAGCTCATCATGGTCGTTCTTCAGAATGATCGATTGTCACGGAAAGCTGAGCACAGGAAACGTCGGCTACACGACCGCACCATTAGCCCGTACATTAAAAGGAATCAAACTCCCGACAAGCTCCTGCGGCTCTCCTGCCTAAGAGCTTCCGATATTGATAGACTCCCCGGCCCCGATTGGTTGTGGTCGCGGAGACTCTTTAACGCCGTTGAAATTGTGGGCAGCCATTCCAAAGAAAGACGCTCGGAGAGGACATTTGAGCGATTGCATTTCAAGATCGTCCGACCATGTGAAACTTGAACGCTCGAGATCAGGCATGAGCAGGAGGTGAGGGCATTTTAAAGACAAGGTTGCTGTTTAACCTTTTCATGCACCCTGTAACCTGATAACATGATAAGCTGTCCACTGTAGTCACCGCTGTCCCCGAAAGGTTTAAAAGTAGGGTTTCAATCCTGTTTTAGCATTTCAAGACAGAGTTATGTTCGCATTAGGGTCTAAAGCAACTCTTCGGGGTTAAAGCAACTCTTTCATACCAGGTTTTCAAATTAAGGTTTCAGTTGGGGGTTCATACGAGAGTGAGGATTTTAAACTTGGGTTCAAAACCAGATTTAGAATCTCACGTTAAGGGCTCGGGGTAGTGTTTCAAGTCTGAGTAAGGGTTTCACCCAACGGTTATGGATTTAAAGTCACACTTCAAGTATGGGTTTCAAAACATGGTTTGGGTTTTAAATTAGGGTTTCTAAAATAGGGTTTCAAGCCAAGGTTAGGGTTTCTAATTGGGATTTCAAAATACTGCACAGATTTAAAAATGGGGTGGGGTTTTAAGTGAGGATTTTAAAGTAGATTTTAAGGCCAGGGTTAGGTTTCTAAATTCGGGTGTGGAGTCAGGATTATGGCGTTAATTCAGGGTGTTAGTGTTGGGAATCAAGGTCGTGTTAGGGCTTTCAATTCCTGTTTCAAAGAAAGGTTTTAAGACAGGTTTTCTGTTCAAACCAAGCTTACGGCTCTACATGAGCGTTTCAAAAGTACATTTTTAAAAAAGGTGTGAGGATTTCCTGTGAGAATTTCAAAGTAAAGTTTTAAACAGAGGTAGTTTTAAATTAGCAGTTCAATCCACGGTTTACTTTCAAACTAAGGTCAAGGTTTTAAATATCAGGCTTCGAACCGGGGTTATGGTTTCAAATTAGGGCTTCAAAGCAGGGTTTGGGCTTTAATTCAGGCGTTCAGAGTCGGGTTTCAAGCCAGTTGAATAGTTTCAAGCCATGGGAAGGCTTTCAAACTAAATTTAGGGCTCCACGTGAGGGTTTCAAATCTGGGTTAAAGTTTCAAATGAGGATTTCAAAGTAAGGTTTCAAGTCCCCTTTGTCACGTCCTCTCTGCTTGGAATCCAAATGCTTTCATTTCTTGGTGAGGACTGAATACCGCAGACGGGCCGCGTAGCAGTGATGCGCTAACGGCAGCATGCAGACTGACAAATGCAGCTGAGCGGTCTCCTTGCTACGCGTCGATGGACGTGCTCGCCATGCAAACATGCCCAAGCGCTGCTTTTTTATTTATTTATTTTGCGGGGGGGTGAATGAAGTCCACCGTATTTGTGTTTGGCAGGCACGTCGGTGATGCAGGTAACGGCGACCGATGCAGATGATCCCACGTATGGAAACAGCGCCCGATTGGTGTACAGCATCCTACAGGGACAACCGTACTTCTCCGTGGAGCCTCAGACAGGTGACCAACAAGCATGACATGCTGTACATACACACTCACAGGCAGACACGCATCCGACCACAATATTTGGTACACGATCTGCCCATTTGTCTCCTGTACCTACTTCACTTCCCACTGGGGCTGATTTTGATGAAACCCCTTCCAAAAGTAGGAGCCTGGGAATTCAGCCAAATTGGTTGCTGCAAACAAAAGCGACAGACTTTTTGTTCTTTTTTTGGTCATCAGTCCTTTGAGAATTTTTTTTTTTTTTTTTGGTGCGCCCTGTAGTGATAGGCTTGTCCACCCAATTTCCTGTTGATCAGCTAAACTGGTGTTAGCGCTAGGTTGCCCCCCCCCCCACCTCGGTTTTCTAACAAAAGTACGAGCCCTGTAAATCAGCCAAAATGGTTGCTTCAAACCAAAACTGAAGACTTTTTGTTCTTTTTGGGGCATTGGTCCTTGAATTGTTTAGGTGCATCCTGAAATGACAGTCATGCCCAACCAATTTCATGTTAATCAGCTATACTGATTTAACCCCCCCCCCCCCAACACACACACACCCCTCAAGCCTACATCATTGTAACAAATGTACAAGCCCAAGAATTCAGTCAAAATGGTTGCCTCAAACCAAAATGGCGTACTTTTTGTTCACTTGTTGGCATTGGTCCTTGACTATTTTTGGCGCTTCCTGTTATGATCAACATGTCCACCAATTGCATGTCTGTTGTCAGAGGCGTTTTTCTAACTTTCAATGACCACTTCTGAGTTTTCTTTGTAGTGAATCCTCCAAATAATTTAAAAAAACAAAACAAAACAAAAAAAACTTGGGCGCAATGCTCAAACCACATTAGATCGTGTAAACCTTGACAATTAGTGTCACCGTGTCTCGGGGATATGCTTTCAATTGGAAACCACTTGGTTGAATTCCCTCAGAGGAATTTCATCAACATCCAAACCCCAGAATTCACCCAAAATGGCTGCTTAACACCAACATGCTCAACTTTCTGTTCAGTTCTGAGTACGGCACCTTTACACCTGATGTGCTCACTGTTATCCTACGGGGTCGTCGTTTTAATCGGAAACAGCACCGTATCCCACCGCTGCCCCATAAAAACCAAACGCAGGCCTTCCCAAAAAATAAAATAAATAAATAAGATGACCATGGTATAAAAAGTCAGCGGTGCGTGGACTCAAAAGCGGTAAAAAAAAAAAAAAAAGAGCTGCATGTTCAGTTTGGCAGTTACCGAGTCCTGGCCTGACATTTGGACAGCGCGAGGTGATAACGGAGGGATGTGTGGAGGAGGGGGGGGTCACTCAGAGTAGAGATGACACTGCTTCACACACAGAAACGTCGAGTCGGTGCGAGTGGGGGGAGGGTGGACTGTTGGCGGGGTTTTGATGGTGGATTTGCGCAGAGTAAATCTGAGCTAATCAGAGCGGTGTCGGCCATTTGACTGGCGCGCATCCAAAGCTCACATTTCTAATTGGTTTGGAGATTATCAGCTTTGCGTGCTGTCTCTCTCTCACACACACACACAAAATCACTCGCACTTAGCCGGCCCACCGTGACCATAAACTTCAAAACACACCACCAGATTATCGGCGTTTGAAATGTAGAAAAATAATAAGTCCGTTTATTTAGCTTGATTGATTCCGAAGTCAAAAGAATGATTTCTGGAGGGCACATCACACATTGCAACCGGATGAGTCGGCTGCGGCCCGGTTGCCGAGGTAACACGCAAAGACTCAAACGTGCAATCACTTCCTCACCGTAGGAACGTGCCATCAACCGGATTGGCAGTCGGCGCAAACCTCTGTGGAATAATCCAGATTCTTCGCTTCCATACTGCAGACGCATCATCCTCGAACTTTATTCGCAGTCCTGTGAAAGAAACAACGAATAATACGGAATTATTAGGGCTTCGCTTTTCACGGCGAATCATCAAACTCGGGCACCAGGACTCCGCTTTGGCAATTTAGCGTGGTCCATCTGTCGAGTCCACCTGGTGTCAAATTGGTAGCGATCGGATGAACTGCCTCGGAAAAGTTATTCTAGTTTAGCTCATACGAATCGCTGAAATTTGTCAACTCATCCCGGCGACATATCATGGTGGAACCACAAAAACTTCGCCGTTAAGCATTGTCCATCTGTCTCGTCCACCTATTGCAAATTTGTCGGTGATTATATTCATTCTCTAGCAGAGGTCTGTTCAAATACGACAGAAGCTGAGATACTAAAAGGTTTTTCTTTTATTTTGCTGCCATCCTCTGCCCACACGCCATGAAGAAAACTTATTAGGTTGGCAATTTAGCACAGACCAGCTGTCTAGTACCTGGTTTGAATTGGGATAAAAAAAAAATAATAATAAAATCCCAGAGAGAAGTCTGTGTGGATAATCACAGGAGCAGAGTTAATAGAGCTTCCTTTTTTTTATGGTGAATAATCAAATTTGTCAGCCATGTTCCGCCCACAAACCACCATGAAAAGTCAAAACGCTTGGCGATTTAGTGTGGTCCATCTGTCCACTACACCTGGTTCAAATTTGGTAGCGCTGGGATCATTTCCCCGAGTCTGCCTCGGTTCGGCGCGCTCTCTTCAAACCAAACTTTGCTGCCACGCTCCGCCCACGCGCCAGAGGGAAGAAACGAGTCGCTTGGCAATTAATCGCTTGGCAACACGGTCCATCCCGTCTCAGTCCTGATTCAAATTTGATCGCGATTGTTTTTAGAGAAGTCTGTTCAGGTTTCACGGGAGCAGATATGTTTAAGCTTCGTTTTTGTTTTGGTTTTTTTGTTGGTTTGTTTTTTAATGGTGAGTCATCAAAATTTGTCATCGGGTTTCACCCACATACCAAGATGACAACTCAAAAACTTGGCAATTAACAATAGTCCATCTGTTCACTACACTTTGCCAAACTCATTTTTGTTGCGGGCCACTTTGTAGTTCCGTCTTGCCTTGGAGGGCCATTATGACAGTGAAACCACAAAAACGTTTAATCGTCTTATCGCATTATTACTTGTAGACACACACAAAAAAAATAATGGATTACTGGTTGAGTAATCAGGCAACAGTAATAGTTTGTTCAATTATTGTTCAAATGAGTGTAAACTGGGTAAGAATATTTTTGCAAAATCTCAACGTTATTTATGACACATGACAATTTGAAATTTCGATACAGAGTTTCGCAAGGATTGTGCAAATTGACACATAATTTGCTTTCACGGGCCACATAAAATGATGTGGCGGGCCGGATTTGGCCCCCGGGCCTTGAGTTTAACACCTGTGTCATAAAACATGACCAATTCCCGCGGCGCTTGGTGAAATTGACCATGATGACATCATCACCTTTATGATTGTGAAAGTGGACATTCAAAAGCATCGTGTACCTTCACACCTGCAGGAATCATCCGCACGGCGCTGCCCAACATGGACCGCGAGGCCCGGCAGGAGTACGACGTGGTGATCCAGGCCAAGGACATGGGCGGTCACATGGGCGGCCTGTCGGGGACCACAGAGGTCAAAATCACACTCACCGACGTCAACGACAATCCACCCAAGTTCCCGCAGAGTGAGTGCAGGGTCAATATTGTACACAGAACAGCCCATAATGGCATTGTGAAAAAAAGTTTGCGTTAAAATATATTTTTTTAAAAAAGCACCAAGAAATCACATGTACATACTGCAAGTATTCTCAGCCTTTGCCACGAAGCTCAAAATTGAAATCATGTGTATCATGCTTTTACTAATCATCTTTGAGAAGTTCCTTAAGCTTAATCGGAGTCCACCTCTGGTAAACTGAGTTGATTGGACATGATTTGGAAAGGCACACAACTGTCTCGATGAGGTCCCACAGGTGCCAGTTCATGTCAGAGCATCAAGCAAACGTGAAGTGAAAGGAATCGTTTGTTGACTCCTGAGACAGGATTGTCTTCTTGAGGCACAAAGCTGGGCAAGATTAGGTGGCGTTTTGTTGGCGTAATGGGGGTTGTACAAAGTATGAATGTCATACTGTCTCGATGAGGTCCCACAGGTGCCAGTTCATGCCAGAGCATCAAGCAAACGTGAAGTGAAAGGAATTGTTTGCTGACTTCTGAGACAGGATTGTCTTCTTGAGGCACAAAGCTGGGCAAGATTAGGTGCCGTTTTGTTGGCGTAACGGGGTTGTACAAAGTATGAATGTCAGGGGTGCTAGTAATTGTGGCACCGCTGATTTGAATAAATTAAAATCATTATTTCTTAACCCTTTCGGGGACAGCGGTTACTACAGAGGCGGCTTATCATGGTATCAGGTTACAGGGTGCATGAGAGGGTTAATATGGGATACCCCCCCCCACCCAGTGAATAAATTGCACTTCAATTTTCCCCTTTTTTTTGGTTCTATATTATTTCAGAAAAAAATGAATTCATTATAAGCTAAATAATGCCAATAATTATGGAGGTATAGTGTTTGTCTGTTGAAATCTTTGAGTCCCTTCAAGGATCCATCGTGAAGACGCATGGAACCAAATTAGCTTCCATCGGCGATAAAGTGCAACACAGAGAGCAGCCGTTAAAAGGCGCAACAACAGTTAGTTCACGCTTAGATCACGACTCTGAGCATCTGTAAAGGACGAGCAGAAGGAGCACCTGCGAGGAGAATGTTCCAGATGGCGCCAATGAGGATGCTGATTACATATTTAGCACTTTGAGAGAGGCAGTGGAGCTAAAAGATTTAAGCCCCCCCCCCTCCCAAATCAAAACAAAGCCATTTTGGTGGCCTTTTTAAATTATAATAATTATTATTATTATTGTTAAAAATATCATCCGCTTTGCAGTTTCTCAAAGACTTCCTGTCACTGTCATCATCCCCCTTTTCAGCCAGCATCATGGAACAAGTATTGCGATGTGACTCCGATACAATTCAGTTATACTGGAGGATTTTTTTTTTTTTTTTTTTTTAAAGACTTGATCTGTCACATCGCTGTTGGCACCTATCAATTACTCGACAGACTCCTTTTGTGAGATTACTGAGCTGCCACCGGAGCAGCCTCGCTCGCCGCCCTGGAAAATGAAACGAAACGAGCTGCAATCCAGTCATACAAAAGACATCCTGACTTGAAAAGATGATTTCTGTGCCCGGGAAATAGTCGAGAAGTTAGCACCTCATCATGCTAACAATATCACTCGTATGTGAGCGTTGATCGTATGAATAGAACGCTACGGACACAAAGGGGGAAGAAATGGATGTTTTGTCGGTGGGAGAGGTAAACGTGAGAGAAATAGGGCAAAGGAGGGAGGAGAGGGAAGGACACACGCCAAGATGGGGAAGTGGAATGAGGGCGGCAGAGAGGCAATAAGAAGAAGAATGAGCAAGCATTGGCCCCGCAGTAGAGGTTGGAGCTGTAAGCTCATTGGCATGAGACAAAAAGCATCCATCTTGTCACCTGCCCATTGATTCAACACTACCTTGTTGCTATCTATCCTACTTCCACTCTCACTATACCGTTCTATCCAAAAACCCGACTCTTTCCCAATCCAACGTCCTAAATTAACTCTTTCATGCACCCTGTCACCTGGTAACATGATGAGCTGTTCACTGTAGTAACCGCTGTCCCTGAAAGGGTTAAGCAAACTGTTTCTGCCCAGCCATCGATCAAGCTACTCATCTATCAATTACCCTAAGATTTACACTGAAAAAAAAGGTCCTTAGGATTTCCTTAATTCCAATATGGACATTGGTTGCACATCATATTCTTGTGCTTTCCTCAAAAATAAACACATGATAGGTTTAATCATGTGAAGCTGAAAATCAAGTACAACCGTTTCGCTACACATCAACCAATCTAGTTATCGTTGACTAGTGAACTACTTTTCGACATCTACCTGTCAATCATCTCACGCATATCCATCTACCGTGTACCCATTAACTAATCTACCCATCTATAGATCAACCCATCTATCAAACTACCCATCTAGTACATTTCTATGCAACTATCTTCCACCTCGTCATCTCCCTATCAACCATCTACATCCATCTCCAACCCATCCAACATATGCCCAACTGTTAAACTAGCAACTCAGCTGATCAGATCTCCACCTCCCTGTCCTCCACCAACGGCCCCTGAAGTTTTACAAGTCTGAATCCAACAAAAAAAACTGTCACGCAGGCAATTTCTTTTTTTCCTTTTTCTAAAAAGACTGCAAGTGGCACAGGGTGGCCATTTATCCCGTGCTTACTCCATGCTCCTTGCACGTGTTTTCATTTTTACCCGTTTGGCCGAGGGTCTCATTCAATAAACTGCGGTCCCGTCGGCCCTTTGTGTCACCCCGCAGGCGTGTATTCCATGTCCGTGTCGGAGGACAAAGTAGAGGGTGAGGAGGTGGGCCGTCTCAAGGCCAAGGACCCCGACATGGGTGACAACGGGCTGGTCAACTACCGGCTGACAGATGGAGACGGGCTGGGGATGTTTGTGCTCAGCACCGACTCTGAGACCAGGGAGGCCATCATCAAGCTAAAAAAGGTAAGGATGACAAATTCATTTAAAAAAAAAAAAAAAAGGTTTTCTACTGCTGCCTGTTTAGACAGCAAACTACTGTAGTTGGTCTCCCATACTGGTTACTTCCAAGTAGTGAAAGCGATAAGCCAAATATTTAAAAGAGAATGTCAAAAAAAAAGCAATATATTAAGGGTAAGAAATACAGTGCTGGATGGGTGGCTCGATGGGTAGATCAATGATCCAATGAAGGTGTTGACAGAATGTAAGGAAAAAAAAAACATTTGTAAGAGCTTTGGAGGTCACAATCTTCTCAACACATGGACATGAGGTCTGTAGCTCTACTTCCTGTCCAGATAGAACACAAAGCCAGCCAGCCAGCTCACTTTTATTCATTCTGTGGGAAAATCTCTCTCTTGCCTGACTCGATCGATACAAATCTTCTTTTGTCTCGATGAAGCGGCTCAGCAGCACTCCGAGACTTTGGTGGGTTCAGCTTCTTTTTTTTTCCCTCCCCACTGCTTTCAGGAAATGAGAGCATGAATTAAAAAAAATAAAAATAAAATAAAAAACAAAACCGTTGGAGTGGCCCAAGGCGATGTGGTTAACCTCAAGTTCAAGTGTCATCCAAAAGCAGTGCAGAGTGCGGTGGAGGCGGGCAGCTGTGCGACCAATCTAAATGCGACTGGAGCTCAAGTCTTGACCACATCCAATGCAGAGAAGACACATGAGTGATGACTTGTTGGCCCTTGGAAAAAAAAAATTTAAAAAGATGAAGGTACTGGACGTTCTCGTGTGGTCACACCGGGGAGGAGTCCCACTTTTCAGCCTTTTGTCCTGCTTGGAGCTCAGATTTTCCACTTCAAAATAGGGAACTAGGGAAAAAAACCAGCACATTCAACGCATCAGTCAGAATGGGCCATGCTAAAAAAACCAACAACTTGATGCATTTTACAAAGAGAAGACTGAGAGCAAGACAGCGGAGTATAATGCAGCGGCCAACAGAACGAGGTGTCTCCTGTATTTGCTTCTCTGAGGAGACGAGTTTTATTCTCGAGAAGACTGTGTATATCAGGTATGATGCTTCAAATTGCAAAACTGCAAACACTGAGGAAATTTAAAGTGAGACTGTGGAATGCCGTTACAGCGACATTCAGAACTAGGCACAAAAAAAAAACAGAAGTGTCTCCTCCTTATCCTTTATTTACCCAAGTCATTAAATTCTTTGAGACTGAAACTGCATAAATGCTGCATTGAAAACATCAGTCAGAATAAGACATATGCTTTAAAAAAAAGACGTGTTATCCAAGAGGAGACGAATGTTGAGAAATGGAGAGGGAACAACAAAAACCAAGGCCCAACAACAGTCTGCTGCATACATTTCTTTCAGTTGACACGTTATTCAGGAGAATACGGGCCTGCTGCGACAAAATGGAGACTGTGAGGTCCAATGCTTCAAATTGGGAAGCAAAGTTTGGTGGTTGCAACTTCTTATCGAGTTTAAGAAAAAATGCGAACCAATCACTGATCCGATCAAATGATGGACCCATCTATTTAATTTATTGAATCAACTTGTCTAGTTATTGGACAGTTGACCACTGCCATTCGCCGAGGATTGGGACTGGCTGGGCAACAAATAGTCAAAATTAGTGTATAATTGACAGCCATTGAAATACACTGGGAAACAATAAAAACAATTAAACCCTAAAAATTCTCCCCAAAATGATGAAAAACACGATTTAGGGGAACGGACGCTCCGCTCTCTCAAATATATATTTAAGACTGTATATGGTGAGAAACGTTGGATTACTAACAACGGCAACACAGAACGTCCCTGAAGTAATGAAATTGTGTTTGCTGTGGTCTTATTTTGCAGCTCTGATTAATGAAGTGATTGATTGATCAGCAAATTATAAATTCCTTTATTAGTTATTTTTACAGCCGATCACGAATTTTGCTTGAAATTAGCCAAAAGACTGCCTCATGTTGTGTGTGGCCATCAGAAGAAAATAGTTTGGAAACTGGAAAAATATGATCCATTTAGCCACATTATGTGTGTGTGTTTGTGTGTGTGTGTGTGTGTGTGTGTGTGTGTGTGTGTGTGTGTGTGTGTGTTGAATGACATCAGAGAACAATCACCCCAAAAATCCTCATTCCGACTCCCTGCTACTCTTGTAATAACAGCATCAGAGCCCAAGGCTGATTTGAAGTGTGTGTGTGTGTGTGTGTGTGTGTGTGTGTGTGTGTGTGTGTGTGTGTGTGTGTGTTTATGCATGTTTATATGCGTGTGTGCATGTGTGTGTGTGTGTGAGTGAGAGAGGCTCACGTCATGAGACCCACTTGGACTCGATCTGATTACAGTGTCCTGATTCTGATGTGCCGCATCGTGATTATTGAGTCCTGATGCCTCTCGGGGGAAATCATCACCTGTTGGCCACTAGAGGCGCGCACGCACGCACACACACACACACACACACACACACACACACACACACACACACACACACACACACACCTGAGCACTTTGAAATCAGCGTCGGGAGAAGCCTTCACTTATCTTCATTCTCCCTCTCACACATTAACGCACACCGGCATGAGCTTTAATCAACTATTCTCTTTCAACTGTGTCCTGACGAAAGCACTTTGTGGAATATTAAGAAGCCGTGTGTGTGTGTGTGTGTGTGTGTGTGTGTGTGTGTGTGTGTGTGTGTCACTGTGAATATTGTCATGAATGAAAGTGAGCGAGCAATCCAGAGAGTGTGACCAAAGCGATGGAGAATGAAAGAAGTGGAACACGTCGGTGACGTGAGTTTCCTGCTGACGCGTTTTAAGTTCTGTCGGGCATTGTGACGTTTAAAAGGTGTGTGGGGGGGGGGGGGGGTCTGAATTATTGTCACAGACTTTACCCAAAGACTGTTTGACAGTTTGTGGTAACACGGCTATCTGGAAGATTTTTTCCGCTCCGATTTGTGCGTGCAAACTTGAGATGCGAGCGTTGCATGCTGGCATGACTCAACTCACTTCACGTCAACCAACATTACACATACAGTAATTCTGTCAACAACTATTTTTAAAAAGAGGCTTCAAGCTGTTTCTTGACATTCCCAGATGAAATGTGTTGCCCGACTAAACAAAACAAACCAATCACATAGCCTTTTCGTCCACTAGCTTACTGCTAACACATCATGGGAAACACCATAGAAAGGCTATTGACTAGCATCTATGTGTTCTTATTCGATAAGCAACAGATTTTAGATCACACACGGTGGCGCAACACATCTAGATAGATAATATAACAGAAATTACAGGAATATATTCTTCATCCTGTGTGGAGAATTATTAATATTACTGCTGGGAAATTGTTTTATCTGTGTCTCTCATTAAATCCGTATGTCTGGTTTGGATAATGGATGGAGGGATGGATTTTATTGCCCCCAGGTGACTAAGGCGCGCACACCAGAAAGAGCAGCCTAATGACCATTGAATTAAAGAAAAATTATGACAGAAATAGTTTTTTAAAAAACGTTTGTTTCTGGGACTAAGCTGAAACGGATTCATGGGATTTCCATTCGTTTCAATGGCGAAAGACGATTTGAAAATCAAGTGTTTTAAGTTTTGTTATATTTAGCATTACCAAATTCGCATATTCACTTCCTCGACACCAATTACGGGTTTTTTTTTTATGAACTGGCGAGGAATTACATGGAAAATAAAAGTGGAGGACTACGGTATCACTCTGGATTTTTTTTCAACATTTTTATAGAGAACAACCGTGTCTCAAACGTTTAAAATCTCCGTGTTGTTAACCTTTTACGAGTCAACAAGTTCACTTGAGTTTGACGCATCTGCGTCGGGGACGACAGGCAGCTCGTCGAGACGGAACAGATGTTTTGCGCCACTCCGTATTGCCACTAATTAAATCTGTGATCACTTAACTGCTGTCATCACGCCGCTCGTAAAAATACCCAGTTAATGCACCGAGCCACATTTGGCTACGGGAGCTCGACGAGCCGCGTCTGACGATTAGCTGAAAGGTGAGCTGGTCGACGACTTTAAACATGATGGCTGTGCTCAGAATCTATCCAGTATCCTGTCCTCACTAAATGCCACAATGTATCTTGAAAAGTAGTCATCACTAAAAAAAAATTTAAATAAAAATATGTGTAAAAGTCAACACATCCCAACGCATTCTGAGTCGTACCAGGGGCGTGGCCGAGTGATGACATCAAAAGCTCATCTGCTTGTGAAGATTGGAGCATTTGAGTTTTGCCCTGCAGTAGCTCCTTGCGAGCGTTTTCATTTTGTATTTCCGTTCATCCCGGCAAGTGTGGCTCTCCTTGCCCACATGCAAGGGCATTATAGTGCCTTCATTCATGACATCATTTTTTTCTATTCGCTTCAATCAAGCCGTGGCCTAGCCGAAGAGCATTCATACCTAAAATTTTCACTTGGAATTACACAAGAGTAGCACAGTGTAAAAAAAAAAAAACAAATAGAACTCACCATTATGCTTTTTTTTTTTTTTTTTTAATCGGAGACAATGAGACCCCAAGTGTCACCGTCCAGTTTACTGCTTAGATTTCATTGCAGAAAATCCCGCTTGACATAGATAGGATGTTAAAAATCGTGGCAGGGTGTTCAAGGCTCTTTCCCGGCATCCGGATTGCATGATTAGGGAAAAGGGAATGAGTAAATGATTCGGAACGCACCCCGTGTCTTGCCGAGCATTTTAATCCATGCTAACACCTGCTAAATCATTTCTGTGTGCGTGTGGAGCTCATACGTGTATAGTTGGTCTGGCTGAGCTCTCGCCGGACTTATAGCTCTGCCTCCTCCCGTTGAGATTCCATTAAACGATGCTGCGGACTGCCGATGAGCAGATCAAGCTCCCACCCGGGACTCTTGCCACGTTCGCGCTCCCGCAGCTGCTGGAAAAACAGTGTCGGGGGAGGAGAAAGCGTGTTATTATCTAGCTTTCTCGGGAGAAGGATTGATGCGGCGAAGAGTGTGTTATTTACGGTCATTACGGAGACAACAGAGATGTGGATAAGCCCGAAACTGGTACGCTTGGCAGAGCGCAAGAGCATATTATGGTTTTTGTACAATGGCTGACAAGGCATAACTTGAAACTTTCCTTGGAGGAGGTTTCAACCGGTGGTTCTCAAACTTGGAGTTCGCAAAGCCGTAGCTTTAAGTCGTAAATTATTCTTGTAGTATTACATATCTACATATAAAGACCTGCACACCGATAAAACAAACCTGATAACAAACCTAGGCGAGTTAAGCACTTTAATTTGATCATGACATATCGTCCCATAAAACTGCCAAAGGTTTGATTTTCTTTAGAAAAAAATGCATACTTTTTGGGGGGAGAATATAGTCCCATTTTCAAAGTGTAATGGTTTTAGTTTCATCACATTACATCTTGTTTTCTCTAAAAAGTTTAGAAAAAAAAAGGTCATGTCTACCGTTCTCTCGAAATTGGGCAATTTGTTAATTTCTCCTCTTCCCAAGCACAGTTCACTATCCGCGTGATTGGCGATTGCGTGTCAGTGGTTTCCCACTAACATAGAGAAATTGAATTACAGCTCTGCTCCAATATCAGCCAATTGAATCTGTGGCTGACGGCAGGCATTTTAACACTGGACTCGAACGCTGCTTTAGGACCTAATCAACAGTGTTCTCGAAATAATGGGGGTGTTATTCGAACACATCTTTTGGGGTTCCCCAGTTTTACTTGTCAATCACCGCAGGACTGCAGCAGCTGCCAGCCGCATCCATGCAGCAACAGCTCCCCCTAGCAGCAGATGAGAACACCGCACCAACTGGTGCTTAGTTATGATGTGAAATCATTGTGGCAAATGTGAAGTGAGGATGTCTTTTTTTATGTGTGTGTGCATGTGTGTCTTCTTCAGCGTGTGGATTTTGAGACCAAGAGGTCGTACACGCTTAAGGTGGAGGGCTACAACGTGCACGTCGACCCGCAGTACCTGGCCTGGGGGCCGTACAAGGACGAGGCCACGATAAAGGTAAGGGTGCGGGAGGATGTTCGAGATCACAGATGTCAAACACTGGCCCTCAAGGGCCGCGATCAGACACGTTTTAGATGTCTTCCTCTTCCAACACACCTGATTCAAATGATCAAGCTCATCAGAAAGCTTTGCAGAAGCCTGATAACGATCCTGATCATTTGTAATCAGATTTGTTGGGGGGGGCATCTAAAACAGACTGAACAGGGGCTCTCGAGGACTGCACTTGGTCAGCCCAACCGTAATGGTAGATTGTGTGTTGTATGTTGTCAAGGTGTCTAATAGGATGGTGCCATTTTTTTAATGTCGTCCCACACAGAAAATTTAGTCAGGCCCCTCAAGATTGTGACATGGACACGTTTCTTATCTTTCTGACTCGAAGCGCTACCGCAACAGATTTGAAAAGAAACAAAGATGGGCTTTAACTTTTTAACACGTGGTTGCAAATCTTTGTCTTTTTGCAGATTTCAGTGGAGGATGCAGACGAGCCACCCGTATTTGTGGCACCCTCGTATACGTTTGAAGTGGAGGAAAACGCCCCCGCCGGTACTCAGGTGGGACGAGTCCACGCCAAGGACACGGACATCGACAACAACCCAGTCAGGTATGACAACATCGAGATTTCATTGCTATTTGAATCGAGGCCGTATGGGACCTCAAGTTTGTGAACACATGTATGCAGGTACATGATTCCACGGTACACGGACGTGGAGCAGTTCTTCAGCGTCAACTCGGAGGATGGCATGATCACCACCACCAGACCGCTGGATCGAGAGACTCAGGCTTGGCACAATATTTCTGTGTCGGCCACTGAGATAGGTGAGGCATTGTGGGGGTGCTGCGCTCCTTCAGTGTGGAGCACAGAATAGAAAACAGAGCGGGGGACAGAACTCGACTTTTGGGAATGTGTTTGATCTGACACTTCCCTGGGATGGGTAACGATGTGAGCAGACTCTGAAATTTAAGTCGACGGGTGCAGTTCGAAATGGACGTTTGCGCCATTGTGGAAGTGAGTGTTTTTATAAGGAACTGCAAGAGGAGCTCCACTTGGGGATGATGCAAAATTGGCCACTGTAAAGTGGGCCCTTGGGAGACCACTTTCCACCCTCGACCGTGCATCCGTCCGTGTGTGACAATGCAATAACTTCAAATAAAAATGGCCAAAGCAAAAAAAGAAAAAAAAAAATCCTAGTTGACCCGCGGGGCCTCTTGCGTTTCGGCCCAACAACACTCCCTCCTGCCAACCCCCGCAAAAAAACCCAGCGAGTCACGAGCGGCCCCACCCTGGCATTCTGCGGCCGGCAGCTCTGGCTCTCCAAGTGCCGTGCGGTTTCCCCGCGGCGCTGTCGACGCCAGACGGCCAGATGGAAACGGGCTCGCGGCCCGCAGAGTCAGGCTACACTAACCACTAACGGGGCTCTGGGAAGCTAAGTAGAAGCCTGCTAATGACGGGGTGCTGGAAAAAATCAAATAAGAGGGTCCAGTCGCGAGAGAAACTGAGCTGCAGTTTCCGTTCCTAAAAAAACAAATGTGCTTAAAAACTACCGATGGGAGGCTTGATGGGACCCGATTCCTATTTATGTCACACAGTATGGCGGGGTAAAAGGAGGAATACGTGTTTTTTTTAAGGAAGGAAGAAAGGAAGATAAAAAAAAAACTATATGAAAGGAAATTAGAAAAGAAGAAAAGCGGGAAGGATGGCAAGAAAAAAAATGTAGCGCAGCTGGAAGGAAGGAATCACGAAAGAAAAGAAAGGAGGGCTGAAGAATCACAAGGAAAGAAGGAAGGAGACAAGAATGTATGAACGTAAGGAATGATGTCACAAGGATATATAGTACAAAGGGAGGGAGGAAAGCAGGAATAATGAAGAATAGAAGAGGGGAAGGAATGCACGAATGTAGGAAAGGAAGGAAGAAAAATAGGGAGCGAGGAAAGATGGAAGGAGGGAGGCAGGAGGGAAGGATGGAACAGGGAAGAGACGAAATGATGGAGTGAGGAAGGAAGGAGGGGGAAAGGACGGATGAAAACAGAAGGGAGCCAAGTTGTTTGAAAGGAAAGAAGGAAGAGAGGACTAATGGATTGAAGTTAAGGGGGAAAGATGAAATAACGCAAAAAAAGATGGAAGAACGGAAGAAAGGAAGGAAGGAAGAAAGGAAGGAAGGACAGAAGGAAGGAAGTAGTTTGTCGACCTATCACATCCCCTTTTTTTTGGTTGTTGTGAAGGATTACGCAACCTCTGCGAATGTTTGTGTGAGACGCGTGGGAGGCAGCACTCATGGAAGCCTTGTAAATGTGGGATGCCGGAAACAAACCCTCCGGCTTGATTGACAGGCAGCGTGGCCGGACGGAATGTACTCCTGCGTTAGCTTGCAAGCTGACATTGTTTGTGTATGTGCGTCTGCGTAGGAGGCCACCACCAGGACACCAAAGTGCGCGTGAACATCAAAGTGAAAGACAGGAACGACAACGCTCCAGAGTTTGCCACCAACAATGAAGTCCTCATGTGTGAAAATGTTGCACCGGGAAAGGTAAGGGATGGAGATTATTATGGAAATGACTTTTGGAACCCAAATTGTCATTTGTAAACCTGAAAGGGTTAAAAAAAAATGTGTGTGTGTGTGTGTGTGTGTGTGTGTGTGTGTGTGTGTGTGTGTGTCTTCCCAGATGATAGAAACGGTCAGCGCAGTGGACAAAGATGAGATGGCCCATCGTCAACACTTCACCTTCAGCCTGGCACCAGAGGTGGCCCACAACCACAACTTCTCCCTTAAAGACAACAGAGGTGAGCCTGCTTTCTTGCATGAATGGCCTCCATCACTTCATACACACACACACACACACACACACACACACACACACACACACACACACACCCGCGCGCACACACACGGCCAGGGTTCCTAAGGGGGGGGCCGCATTAATCGCATTGTGGTCTCGCTCCATCTGTCCGTACGTCTTCGGAGGGGGCGGCGTGATTGAATTAAGCTACGAGAGAAGCTTCAAGTAGCAGCCACAGCGTAGAAGTCGTGGACACCGAGATGGAATCCAGCGTGTAGATAATGAAATAGAAGCAAAGGAACGAGACAGACGTGTCGGCGGTTGGTTTCGCGCTGAGCAACAGATGACGCTTCCATCTGAGCAAATGACTCGTTGCTCTTTTGGATTCGGGCTGCTCATTGAGTGTCTTTTTCGAGTGTCTCCTCCACTTTGTTTCCCAAAAGGAGTATTTTGGCATTTGCGATTTGGAAAGCGGATTTGAAACCTCAATGGAAAACTCTTAATGTAAACACGTATCCTGATTTGAAATCCTAATCGGAAACCCGCATGCTGGTTTAAAACCTTCACTTGGTGATCATTTAACCTTGAATTCTGAAATGTTATTTAAAAGCCTAACCCTGCCTGGCTTAAGAACTTGAAACCCTAGAGTTGAATCTTAACCCTTTCGAGCACCCTGTAACCTAATAACATGATAAGCTGTCCACTGTAGTAACCGCTGTCCCTGAAAGGGTTCAATTTAAACTCTAATACTGTTTGAAATTTCGATTTGGCATCCAAAACCCTTGCTTGGAACTGTAACCCTGATTTGAAACCCTAATTTGAATCAAAAGAACAAACCCTAATTTGAAACCCCAACCCTGGCTCGAAACACTCATGTGAATCTCAAACCCGAATTTAAACGCGAAAACCTATTCCTGGTTTGAAACGCTGATTTAAAACCTTCATTCTGGCTTCGAATCCAAATTGGCCACTTATACCCTCGCTTAGAACATGAACCAGGCTTTGAAGCCTATTTTGAAACCTTAACTTGACTATCCCTGTCTTGACTATCCCCGTCTTGAAAACGCCAATCCAAAATCCAAATTTGAGATACTACACCAGTCTTGAGACCTTAATTTTGAAACCACAACACTGGTTCGAAACCTTTACCTTTGTTAGAGTCCAGATTAGGAACCCTAATTTGAAACCCTAAACCTTTAAAACCCTACTTTCAAGCCCTAGCCCTGGCTTCAAACCCCAATTAGAAAGCACAACCCTTGTTTGAAACCATAAACCTGACCAAAACCCAAATATGAAACTCAGTAAATCCCACCCCGTATTTGCACACAATTCCCAAATTGAGATGTTGGCATGTGCATTGACCATCCGGCATTTGTCTTCCCTCCCCACAGACAGCACGGCCAGCATTTACGTGCTGCGTCAGGGTTTCAGCCGCCTGACGCAGGATGTCTACTTCCTGCCGGTGGAGATCAACGACAACGGCGTTCCGGCCATGAGCAGCACCAGCACGCTGACCGTACGCGTTTGCTCCTGCGACAGCAAGGACACCATCTTGTCCTGCAACGTGGAGCCCTACGTGCTGCCCGCCGGCCTCAGCACGGGCGCGCTCATTGCCATCCTGGCCTGCATCGTCATCCTGCTGGGTAAGGCGGAAAATAACGGGTGAAGTTTTGACACTTCTTTAATCCTTTTATGCACTCTGTAACCCGATAATACGATAAGCCGTCCACTGTAGTAACCGCTTTAGATGTCAGGTTAGTTCCTAGACTTCGGACCACAATTAAATGTGCGCATATGACCAAACAAAATTAAATTGTCTCCAAAATTGAACTGTCAGAAATTTGGTTACTGCGATTGGCTGGCAACCGGTTCAGGGTGTCCCCCGCCAACTGCCCGAAGACAGCTGGGATAGGCTCCAGCATGCCCCGAGACCCTCGTGAAGATAATGCGGATCAGAAAATGGATGAACAGAGATTTGGTTCCAAGTTTGTTAAACGACAAGTTTGATTGTGTGCCCCCGCGCGCAGTCATCGTGGTGCTATTTGTGGCACTGCGGCGTCAAAAGAAAGAGCCTCTGATCGTCTTTGAGGAGGAGGACATCCGAGAGAACATCATCACCTACGACGACGAGGGCGGTGGCGAGGAGGACACGGAGGCCTTCGATATCGCCACGCTTCAGGTAAGCCGGTCTTCAAAGTCTCGTTTGAATCCGTAAAACTTTGTCGAGCAGCCGAACTCTTGCTCGGAAACCCTGACATCGCGTCCCTTTTCAGAATCCAGACGGCGCCAACGGCTTCCACCCGAGGAAGGACATGAAACCGGAGCTCCAGTTTCCCCTGCGTCCCGGCGGCCACCCGGCAGCCAACAGCGTGGACGTGGACGACTTCATCAAGACGCGCGTGGCCGAGGCTGACAGTGACCCCACCGCGCCGCCCTACGACTCCATCCAGATCTACGGCTACGAGGGCCGCGGCTCACTGGCCGGTTCGCTCAGCTCTCTAGAATCGGTGACCACCGAGTCCGACCTGGATTATGACTATCTGCACAGCTGGGGTCCGCGCTTCAAGAAGCTGGCCGATTTGTACGGCACCAAAGACTGCTCCGTTCACGACGGCGATGACGACGATGACTGTTAACGTTGGGACCCCCCCTCTCCTTCCCCCAAAATAATAACACATTTCCGATGATTCCACAAAGATTTTGTCTCCAACGCCTTCCCAACTTTCTCCCATTTCCTCCCAAGTAACAGATGCCGAGAGCTCCTGACTTCACTTCTCACGGACCGGAGCAGAATCGGGCGGGAAAAATGTATCGCGTCACCCGTGTGTTTGGACTTTAATTAGTGCAAAAAAAAAAAAAAGGAAAAAAAAAAGAAAAAAAACTGTCTAGCTGAAATTAGAGGTCGTGTACACTTTTGTGGACTGGATTCACAAACATCTTTGAGGTTTTACTCTACTGACGGGGTCCTAAAGACCACTGTCCCAGCTGGACCGCCGGTCCCGCCGTTTGTTGTTGCTGTGCGATACTGCTAAGGACTCTGGGTTGTTGATACTGTCTTGGCAGTACGGTGGCCTTAAAATAAATCAACAACAACTCCGGAGGCCAACACACACAATACGAGTCCGACGACGTAAGACGCTTTCAGTAGCTACAAAAACCAGGACTGAGGCTCTGAGGTGAAAAAACAAACAAACAAAAAACAAGATGGACCAGATTGGACGTCAAAACTGTGGATGCCGATTATTTTTTTTTTTGATCCTTCGCTCCTGTTTCCTATCACTCACTTCCGCCTAGGGTTGCAAAGAGATGACATATTTCCAGTGAATTTTGGGTAAATTTCCATGGGAAGATAACTGAGGAATTTTGAAAAATATTCCCAAAAATATATATTTTTTGCTTTTTCCATTAATTAGGAATCAAGCATGAGCTTTGTGTGAAAAGAAACAGCTGCTTGGGCCCTAATACATCTATTTTTTTGCATTTATGTAAAACAAAAACATGAATGAGAGGGCATTGGGTGTCAAAATAATGTTTTAAATGATACACAGATATACAACTAAAAATGGCATTGGCTTTTGACACGGTGTTCCTCATTCACTCCAGGAACCGCATCATCATTTCTCACTTTCGACAACCTATCGTGACACTTTTGTTGTTTGTACCATACATATACATACTCTGTTAAAGTGTAAGGTACTTAAATTTGGCCCATTTCCATCGTGTTGGCACTTCTCTCTCTCATTGACAAGCCAAGATTCACTTCCTTATCGTTTCTTCTACTCAAAAGTGATTCTGAGCACGAATCCAAAGTGATGTAACAGTGTCATCGACTGGCAGCTGTTTCTCAATAACCTTATCCTTGCCTACCAGTTCAAAAATATCCTTGATAAATAGTTTACCAGTAGCGGTAAACAGTTGGATTCCGGTTGACGAATATAAACATGGCAGAGAATGAGGTAAGAGTTAACCTTTTCATTTAGTCAATTCCTGGTTTTGAGTCATTTCTTGACAAAATTCCCGTTCATCTCCATGGAAAGTTTCCAACTGTGAAAATGCCCACAATTTTGCAACCCTACTTCTGCCACTGATGATGATGATGATCAATCATAAATGAGTAAAAACCTGTGAGATCTTCAATATCGCCTTAACAGACACTCGCAGTGCATTCTATCGATCCGTTGTTGTGCTTTTGTTCATTTTTCAAGTCAACAGCGCAAGCTAGCTAGCCTCCATGTTTGCAGAGAATGTGCAAAACGAGTGGTGGGTTACACTCGTTAAAAACAGAACAGGATGTGACGTGTTTTCGGAAAGGCTGGGCGACATCTGTTGCATCAACATGTGTTGCAATCATTTCCGAAAAACATTTGCCCACCCTCTACCACCACCCCGCCATTCCCAGAAGCCAGGACGTCATTTTTTTAAGTGGTTAAACCTCATTTTTTTTATTATATTATTATTATTATTATTATTATCAGTTTTTTTATCAGTATTATCATTATTATTATTATTATTTTGACTGTTGTATGATTTGGCAACGCATTTTTAGCTCTTTATCTGATTTTCCGCCAAAGGGTTAAGCCTTGGTTTGTTTAGCTTTTTTTTTGCCTTTTTGTTTTTTGGGCTTTGTTTTCCGTCATTTGGCGTTTCATCGTGGTTCCTCCGCACTCGAGAGGAATACGGCGAAGCGACCTGTTAGTCGCTCCAGAGAAAACGCCTGGTTTTTATTCTTCTGTCAAGTTTTATGGTACCAATTTGTACAATTTTAAAAGTTCTTATTTTTTAGTATACATGCAGAATATTCCAGTATTACAACAAAAAAAAACATGTTACAATTAAAAAAAAAAGAAAAAAAAACAAAATGAGTCAGCATCACACTTATATTTTCTGAACATTGTACTGTTGATTTACTATGTGCTTCAATCTACGAAGCGAAAAAAAAAACAAACTTTGAAATAAATGCTCTTTTTACGAAATGAGAATGACAAGTGATTTTGCCTTTTAAATAAATACGACATTACACAAGGATGTTGGGGTTGTGAACCGGGGGAAATTACACAACTATGTTACATGACTGGAGGATCGGAGGCCTGCCCATTTACCGATATTTTGTAGAGTGAACCAATTAAAAAAAGATCACCCGATGTAGCAGCTCGAAGGAAGCCTCTTCTATTATCGTTCATATGATTACACTTTGTGTGTCGGATGCAGGGTGGGAGTGATCCCAGGCCCACTGAAGCCTGATTACTTTTTAAATCAAGACGTGGCACTTGAGTAAACAGGGATGTTTGTGTGTGTGTGTGTGTGTGTGTGTGTGTGTGTGTGTGCGTGTGCGTGTGTGTGTGTGTGCGTGTGTCGGATGGATGTCCTTGGGTGGTCCGACGGAGACTTAATTAAGCATCTGCGGTCTACGGTGTGTCAGCTTGCGGTTGTGCGGTAGGCCGCTCATTTTCGTTTGTGTTTCAACTTTCCCCGACGTCCTTGAACACAACACGCAGAAAACTGATGTGCAAAATGATGATGCCATTGAGTTTATCAGTCAAATGTGGAGTAATTTAAAAGTAATATACCAAACTCAGCCAACCACACTTTCTCTATCCATCCATTCCTCTATCCATCAGACATCCATCGTTCAATGGAGCACCACCCTCATCCATCCGCCTGTCCAGCATCCAGACATTTTTTATCCATCAATCCATTCATCATCCATCCTTCCATAAATTCATTACAACCACACCATCATGCCATCCATCCACCCATTCATTCATCATCCTTCCATCATCCATCCTTGCATCCATCAACCATCCATCCGACCATCTATTCATTCCTCATTTGTCACTAAATACATGTCACAAATTTTATCCATGATCCATCCATTTATCACCAATGTCATCCATCCATCGAGCCATTCATCATCCATCTATCACTGCATCACCAACCTTAATCATCCACCTGTCCGTCATCCAGTCATTTGAATATCAATAATCCCACCCTTCAGTTTTGCGTCTTGGTGGCAAAGTATGACTTTTTGTGGTTAACTACTACCTTCTGAAATACAAAGATTGCATTTTTTAAACCAAAAAACCTGTTTGTGCGTCGCATCTAAAATCAAACCAATCATCTTAAAAGCAAACTATCGCCTCTAAAATATAAAGCATAATATGGCTTTTTGTGAATTCAAATTTTGGCATCTTCTGTTTCTCAGCCAATTACCGTTTTTTTGACAATATTCAGCCTTTTTGATGAAACTGATAAGATGTTTGTCTTTAGTGTGTTAAATTCCTATTTGCAGTGAGTAAACAGTTACGCGCGGTGGAACACAAAATAAAAACGTGACAAACTGCTTCGGGGTGCACAAGGACACACAGCAAGCGTGTGAAGAAGCAAAACAGTGAGCACGTCCGACACCCATCGTAAACCATGGCGAGGTTAGCAAGAGGCCATTTTTACACCAGACAGATGACACAAAATGCAATGTGTGTGCGCGCAGGCGTCGTTTGTGTGTGTGTGTGTGTGTGTGTGTGTGTGTGTGTGTGTGTATACAAGTGTGTTCGCAGATTGTAGAGAGTAGGGCAGTGGCGGCCTGCATGCAAGTGAAGGTTATGTAAAAGCAATCAGAGGCCTGTTTAATCTTTCAGAAAGAAAGAGTGCTCATTTGCATAATCATCATCTCCCTTTCAGCAGCAGTGCAAGCGACTGAAGTCGAAGCATGTACGTGTGTGTGTGTATGTGTGTGTGTGTGTGTGTGTGTGTGTGTGTGTGTGTGTGTGTGTGTGTGTGTGTGTGTGTGCGCGCGGAATCCTCCTCATCCTCCCCTTCCCTTCATTCGTCCTCGGAATCATCACCCGGCCACGTTGAAAATGCAAGGTTAAAGTCCTGGGAGGAAGCTCCTCAAGTATGGAGATGACACTGCGGCTAACGGTGTCTCAGTTTGCAAGCGTGTTCCGCGCAAGACGACAAGCAGTGACAGCCAAATCTGTGTCGAGACTTTGAAGAATGAAAGAAGAAGAGGCCATAACAAATGTGTTTAACCGGGATGCAATTAAACGCTGGGCCTCCTCTGAGGGTGGCCGCTGTCCCTTCGATGAAAGAGGCAAGAAGACGACCACAAAAGAACCCAGCACAGTGTCGGAAGCAAAATGCATGTGGAACAAATTTCAATGGCAAAATATTGCAATTGCATGGTCGACTTGAATTTTTGCTGGACAAATATGTCATTTTTGTGACAAGATGTAGTGTTTTGAAGGACTGAACGTCGGCATTTTTGTGCCAAGGTACAACTTTTGGGAGCAAAAATAAATAAATAAAAGGCCATTATCATCATAATTTTTTGTGTCCAAATATAATAGATCCCCACATTTTTTTTGGTGGGGCCAAAATGGATTGTTTAAGGCAAAACAGGCTTTTTGTGTAGAAATTCAAAAGGGAATTCAAGCGAAAAATGTACCATACGATAATATGTTCTATACAGCCCCGTCAGTCGAAATGCAGCTAATCGCTGCTTTCCGATTTTATTTCTTTCTTTATTTATTTGATCCATCTCAGGGGGCGGCCATTTTGTCACTTGCTGTCCACTCAAAATGACATCACAGTTGCTCAGGGCTCGGTACCGGGTTCAATTCCAGCTCCGGCCTCCCTGTGTGGAGTTTGCATGTTCTCCCCGGGCCTGCGTGGGTTTTCTCCGGGTACTCCGGTTTCCTCCCACATTCCAAAAACATGCATGGCAGGCCGATTGAACACTCTAAAGTGTCCCTTGGTGTGAGTGTGAGCGTGGATGGTTGTTTGTCTCTGTGTGCCCTGCGATTGGCTGGCAACCGGTTCAGGGTGTCCCCCGCCTACTGCCCGAAGACAGCTGGGACAGGCTCCAGCACCACCCCGCGACCCTTGTGAGGATAAAGCGGATTGGAAAATGTATGAATGAAAGGACTGTGTACTGCATTTTGTGTCTTACAGGCAACATAGAGCACTTTTGTGCCAAACTGCAACAATCTGTGCTTCTGCTTAAGTCAGTGCAAAACAAGCTCATCGTTGCAAAACGTGGAGCCGCGCTTTTGAAGAGCACATCATTTCCAATGTGTGGCGATGCGACACGGCGGATTCAGAGGGGAACGTGGGTATGATCTGGATCCCCCCAACCCCCACTTCCATTTAGCATCAACTCAACCCGTTCGCACTTAATGCATTTTTAATGAACTGATCTTTCATTGCAAATCTACAGCTAATTTGCCCTAATATCAATCCTCGTTGGCACAGCGATGCGTGTACGTTTTTGCCTTTGTCTGTGCACGCTTGTGTGTGTGCGTGTGTGTGTGTGCGCGTGCGTGCGCATCAGTTGTTTCACAGATGGCTCGGACACGCCGTGCGGTCGTGAGCGCGCAAAAAAGAACCACACGCCGATTTGCGGCCAAGCTAGTGATGATGCAAATGGAGACCTCGTCATTCCAGGACGCTGATGTCAGCTTCAAGCCAAAGAAAAAGTGTGACGTGGTAGCCTTGGATGTGCGGCTGAGGCCTGGCGGAAGGTTGCGGCGAACACGACGCGGCCGGTTAACTAGCATGTGGATCTCTCTGAGGGGCTTGAAACCTTAACAATAGTCTGCAATCGTAGCAAGCTTGAAATACAATCTTTGAAACCCTACACCTAGTTTTAAGCGCTACTCGAAAACCCTTGTTTAAAACCCTTCTTTGAAATGTTAATCCTAATTTAAAACACAAACTCCAGTTAAAAACCTTATTTTGAAACCCTCAACTGGGTTTATGACCATATTTTGAAAGCCTAACCCTCGTTTCAAACCCCACTTAGAAACCCTAACTCTAGTTTGACACCCTATTGTGAAACCCAAACCTCAGTTTAAAACCCTACTTTCAAACCTTAAACCTTGTTAAAAACCCGCTTATGACACCTTAACGCAAGTTTAAAACCCTACTTTAAACCCAAACCTACTCTGAAAAATTACGATGAAACCCTGGCCCTGGGTTAAAACTCGAATTTCAAACCCTAACCCTACTTAGAAACCATACTTTACACCTTAACCCTACTCTAAAATCCTAGTTTGAAACCCCGATCCTAGATTAAATCCCGACTTTAAAACCCTAACCCTAGTTTAAAAACCCTATTTTGAAACCCAAACCTTACTTTAAAACCCTACCTTGAAACCTTAACCATCGTTTAAAACCCTCTTTTGACACTCTAACCCTGCTTTAAAACCCTACTTTGAAACTCATCCTTAGTTTAAAACCCCCCTTTGAAATCCCAACCCTACCCTGAGATCCTTACCTGACTTTGAAACCATACTTTAAACCTTAACCCTACTCTGAAACCCGACTTTAAAACCCTAATTCCAGTGTAAACCCCCGTGTAAAAACCTAACATTACTTGAAACTTCCACTTTGAAACCGTAACTCTGGCATGAAACCCTCATTTAAAACCCTATGCCAGACTAGAAACCCCCATTTTGAAAGTGATTTTCCTCCCAGTTGGTGGCGACAAAGACACTTTGCTCCTGTTTTCACCTTACGTAAATCAACACAATTCCCACTCAAGGAGCAAACGCTAACTGTCATTGATGCATTGTTCCCTCTCGTCTTCATTTAGAAAGGCGACGGACTCGAGAGCTTCGAGTCTCCGGCTTTGGTTTTGATGTGGCGGGTTGCAGCCACATGCTTAATTGAAGCTGGAGGCGCCCGCTGAGCTAAGTCAAAACGTCGCAAATTGATTTGTCAGGAGTGCACGTGAAAACCCGCTCGGAATACCACCGGATCCATTTTAAAACTAAGTTCACCTCAAGGTAGAACACAGTTGGGAGAAGGCAGAAATTCTCAGTCTGAAAATAAATTTAAATATCAAGGTTATCGAATAAACAATGTTTCCTTTACCTCAACGTTGCAAACTGTGAGATGTGCAACTTGATTTTCATTCTTACAGATTCACTGACAATATTATTTTTCTATTTGTGACCTGAACCCATCCGACATTTT